ACTTTGCAAACTTAATATGTGACTGCCGTGACTTGTGAACTATAAATAAATAAAATTTTGCTTTATTAAATAATGACTTTTGTTAAATAGCACTGTACTTTTTTTAACTATTGACGTTTTTAAAGATATAAGCTCATCCCCATGTTACACTCATTGAGACCTTTCATTTGAGTACCCACATGGAATTTTTTATATATTTTATATATATGGTATTTGTGACATATATAAATATATAAAATATATGAAAAATTAATGTGGGTACTCCAATGAAAGGTCTTGATGAGTGTAACATCGGGATGAGCATTTATCTTTTAAAATGTCAATAGTTCACGAGATACAAGGTCATTTCTTCATTATGTATCTAGAGAAAGAGCATTTTCGAATGCAGCCTAAATACTTATCATCATAAATTGACTATTGGTGAGAATGATACAAAACCATGAAATGGCACAATTGCAGGTTAAAACTTTTCCAATAATACCAAATTTAACCCTAAAAACCCATTAAGAAAAATTATATGATCTTCAAAAAATTCTTAACGTGAATTTGTGTCTACTAACAATTTTATATATTTTTAGTGATTGTAAAATTTTAAAGGAGTTTTTAAGAGTTAATTGGCTCTATAAATTTCTTCCCCGACATTTGTCCATTTAATTAATGAAAATTGATCCTATAATATCGATATTACTTTAAAAATTTATTCCAAAAGTACCGCAGCTATCTATATATTGTGATTAAAAATATCGAAAAATCATTAAGCCAAATTTCTTTTTATTCACCAGTCGCAATGTCCGCGCAGTCACTCCTTCTATTTATCTAACAAAATTTTACAATCATCGCAATAAAAAAATTATTTAAAAAATTCTTTACACATAAAAATCTATGCCTGCAATTTTAAAAATAAACATAATAATATCTTCTTAATAATAAATAAATTATCGCTTTAAAAAGCGTAGTTCAATAAAATAATTATTTTCGATATATTATATATGATACCGCAAAAAAGCGATACATGTGCCCGATCTCCGTTTTAAATATTCCGATAAAATGTTTTGTAAACCGGTATTGGAATATTTGAGAGCAAGACCAGGAGGCTGCCGAGAGTATGAGTAAATATTTAAACTGCTACGAAAACTACACGCCGGCTTATCGCTCGGTAATATCAATATCGATTCAACATAAAATATGTAGATGAAATACTTTTTCGTGGTAAGTGAAACTTTTTTCCCATCCCGTTGCATCTCTACCCCACATTCTATCCCAACTCATCGTGCCGTACTTGCTCAATATTATTATATTTATAAAGATTTAATTAGTCAGCCCTCCTGCGATAACAGCTCCTATATATCTGTATCTGTATATATGTAATGGAAGAACCTAATGCAGTTAGGTATAGATATAGCTATGCAATATATAAAACATGGAAGATGAAATATAGGATGTACAATATATAATATATAATATATAATATATAATACAATACAAGAGACTTTTATCAATATCCTGTCGATACTAAAATGTGTTAACACTCGTCTCTGGTATCCCCGTCTACGTCCCATCCTCAGTCTCTTCAATTCTTGTCTATCCTGTAATCTTTTTTATTTTGTGTACACAGTCTTGAGTTACACATAACAGTGATCCGGCTTACTATTTGCTCTACTACATACCCAATATCACTCAAACTCTATAAATATAGTACAATGTTTAAACATTTGTCGCAGCACGTTCCCAAGAAAATAAACAACCGAAACTTAAGACTGCACTGAAGAAATCGATTTTAAATTTATATAATAGAAAAAAAGTCTTTATTGTTCTGAAAAATTTTTACGTGCACACAAAAAATTAAATGCACTGTACTTGCTTAACTATTGATGTTTTTAAAGATATAAGCTCATCTTGACATTACACTCATCGAGACCATTCATTTGAGTACCCACATGCATTTTGATATATTTTTCATATATATACATATATATAATATATATAAATATATGAAAAAATGATGTGGATACTCAAATGAAAGGTCTCGATGAGTGTAATGTCAAGATGAGCTTATATCTTTAAAAACATCAATAGTTAAGCAAGTACAGTGCATTTAATTTTTTGTGTGCACGTAAAAATTTTTCAGAACAATAAAGACTTTTTTTCTATTATATAAATTTAAAATCGATTTCTTCAGTGCAGTCTTAAGTTTCGGTTGTTTATTTTCTTGGGAACGTGCTGCGACAAATGTTTAAACATTGTACTATATTTATAGAGTTTGAGTGATATTGGGTATGTAGTAGAGCAAATAGTAAGCATCAAGAGCTTTCATTTGAGTACCCACATGCATTTTGATATATTTTTCATATATATACATATATATAATATATATAAATATATGAAAAAATGATGTGGATACTCAAATGAAAGGTCTCGATGAGTGTAATGTCAAGATGAGCTTATATCTTTAAAAATATCATCAGTTGACGAGATACAAGGTCATTTCTTAATTATTGACATTTTTAAAGATGTAAGCTCATCCTGATGTTACACTCATCAAGAGCTTTCATTTGAGTACCAACATGCATTTTGATATATTTTTCATATATACATATATATAATATATATATAAATATATGAAAAATTGATGTGGGTACTCAAATGAAAAGTATCGATGAGTGTAACATCGGGATGAGCTTATATCTCTTAAAATATCAATAGTTCACGAGATACAAGCTCATTTCTTAATTATGTATCTAGAGATAGAGCATTTTTGAATGTAGCCTAAATACTTATCATAATTAATTGAATATCGGTGAGAATGATATGAAACCTTGAAAAGGCACAAAAAAAATTTATTTCAATCAGATAATAATTTTGAAGAACTTTATATTCTTCATTCGAGTAGAAAAATTATTAAAATAAAAAATTTATGTAAATTTTACTTTATTAAAAAATTTTTCAAAGATATAAAAATATTTTTAATTTATAAAATTTCAAATGAAATTTTACAGCTTTAAAATTGATTTTTTACAGAATTAATAAGAAATTTTGACAATTCTTTAGATATGGAGCTTTGCCGTTTTTTTTTTTGGCGACATAAAATCGAAAAATTGACAATTTTATTCATTAAAAAGTTTACAAAATTTTATATTTATATTTTTCTCGCAGGAAAATTTAAAAAATAAATACTTGTCTCGTTTTTCACTAAAACTTTAAAAAAAAAAATTTACCGAGTACTAAATTACTTTTTTTTTGTAATAGAAGCTAAAAAATTATAAAAAAATATCAACAATTTAAAATTGAAGATATTTTTAAAATGTTTTTTTTTTTATATTTTTTATCATATTCTGCAAATATAATAGAATAATTTATAAAAAAAATCCGAATACATTACTTCGGTTTTTTACGGCCAAAAAACTGCGTTGTCCTACATCTAAACAATGCCCGAAAAAAGCAGTTAAAAAATTTTAATTCATAATGTAAATTTAAATAGCCACGAAAAAAAACTAAATATTTCAATTTAAAATATAATTTGTAAATTTTGCTGGAGACAATAACTTATTTTTAAAATCAAGTAATAATTAAAAATATTTTTTATAAAAAAAAACTTACAATATTTTTCCTCCATATCAAATTTAATTTAAAGGAAGAAAATAATAAAATAATTACAAGCGCCTTAAAGTAAGATATTAAATGTTAAACGTATAACGTTAAATATTACAGTTACGTCTGGTTGAGGAAACTTTGAAATATAAACTTGTCATATTTCTTGTTCACTTTTCTATTAAAATTTAAGTGATAAAGTTAGAATCTGAATCATGGAGTGTCTAAAACTAAAATAGAACTTTAGCATACCTACGCAGAACGTAGAACGTCGCATGTAATGTATTTTCCTAGCTCTGTCAAACCATATTGTGTACGTATATGTATATATTTATAGATATATACGTAGATAAATGAATGTAATATGTAATGCAGGGGCTGCGCTGCGTTATTATATTGCATAGACTGCACAAACCGACGGATCGTAAATCGACGATGCTGTGAACCACAACAGGTGATGGGACGTACGTTTCACCAGACATGGAACGTGCAGCAGAGCGATCGAATTAAAATCGTCGGAGACTTTTCCTGATAAACTATTTAGCGACCCGGTGGATATGTCTGTGCTATTCCGGTTTAAATTTATACAAAATTTATCGGAAAGTTAAATATTAACCGTTTAACCACGGCGGTTAATAAAGTTATTTTCGAGCTGGATATTTTTTATTTATAGCGTATCTCTGATTTACAAATAAAAATCAGTAACTTTTTTTTTATTTTTATAAAATCAAAATTTATTGTCAAAAAATTGAAGAATTTTTTTAAGGAAAAAAAATATTTATTATCAGAAAATTAGAGAATTTTTGTTGAAGAAAAAAAATATTTTTTTTTTAGATTGTGAAAGTTAAAAGCGAGCTTGTTTTATGAGAAGAAATAAATTTTTTTTTTTCAGGCTTCTGATTTATTCAACCCCAGGAAAAAATAATGGAGATTATTTATGATACGGTCTAATTATAATTCAAATCCTCCCTTTAATTAAGATGCAAAGATCGGGTTTTATTTTTTTAAAAGGGAAATTTTGTGAATTTAAAGTTTGAATTTTTTTATTAATTCTGATGGATTTATTGGAGAAAAGGTACTGAAGTGAAAACACAGTTTTGTAAGTCAAAGAAGTGAAACCGAAATTAAATTGAAAGAAAATGGTCAGTAAATCAAAAACTTCAAATGGAATTAAAGCGAGCCAGCCAAAAGTAGGATTTATCTTCAATCTTACTGAGAAAAGCGATTTGTAGTTGTTATTTTAAGTAAATATGTTATTAATGTAGTGACAATGAAAAATTCTGTAGAACCAAAAACCCAGAAGTGTTTTGTTGAATGAAGGCCAAATTTCAAATCCTGCTAGTTTGGATCTAACTCATTTGTTTGAATGTATATATGCTTTCATTCAGCTACTGCGGATTTTTTTTTTAATGCGGGTCGTTTCATCTTTTGTAATCTCGCTTCTGTCAATCCGCAATCAAGCTTTATCCTCATTGAACAATCTGGGGAATTAAACTCAAAAATCCCTTTTAAGGTCAGAAGATTTAGGAGTATTCAAGTGTAAAATTGACTGACGAAAACTATTTGCTCGTCAAAGAGATAGAAAATTATTTATAATTGTTTTGGCTTTGATTTTTCGTACAATGATAAAAGAATTTTATGTATTTTATTTCATTTATCATTAACTGTTACTATATTATTATTGAATATTATATGATTTTATTGAAATTAAATGATAGTTAATTAATTATTGATAAATATTAATTTTGACTTTTTAATGGAGAGTATAAAAATTCAATTTTTACAATTTCATAACTCGAAGAAATAAAAAAAATTACAAATAATTGTTTTTTTATCATAAATTATTGATAATTTTTTATAATACAATATTTTTTTATTAAATAATGACTTTTGTTAAATTGCACTGTACTTTCTAAAATATTGACGTTTTTAAAGATATAAGCTCATCCCGATGTTACACTCATCAAGAGCTTTCATTTAAATACCCACATGCATTTTTGATATATTTTTCATATTTATATATTTATATATTTATATATATATATATATGAAAAAATGATGTGGGTACTCAAATGAAAGGTCTCGATGAGTGTAATGTCGAGATGAGCTTATATCTTTAAAAATATCATTATTTGACAAGATACAATGTGATTTCTTAATTATTAACGTTTTTAAATATATAAGCTTATCGCCATGTTACACTCATCAAGACCTTTCATTTGAGTACCCACATCAATTTTTGATATATTTCATATATATTGTATTTGTGAAATATATAAATATATAAAATATATGAAAAATTGATGTGGGTACTCAAACGAAAGGTTTCGATAAGTGTATTGTCGGGGTGGGCTTATATCTTTAAATATGTCAATAGTTCTCAAGATACAAGGTCATTTCTTAATTATGTTAAATTGCACTGTACTTTCTTAATTATTGATATTTTCAAAGATATAAGCTCATCTCAATGTTACACTCATCAAGAACTTTCATTTGACTACCCACATGCATTTTGATATATTTTTCATATATACATATATATAATATACATAAATATATGAAAAATTGATGTGGGTACTCAAATGAAAGGTCTCGATGAGTGTAATGCCGAGATGAGCTTATATCTTTGAAAATATCATTATTTGACAAGATACAAGGTCAATTCTTAATTATGAATCTATAGATAGAGAATTTTCGAATGCAGCCTAAATATTCATCATCATAAATTGGCTATTGTCGAGAATGATATGAAACCATGAAAAGGCACAACTCCAGGTCAAGACTTTTCCGATACTAAATTTAACCATAAAACCCCATTTTATCATATAAATACACTGGCCACAAAATTTTGCTTATTTTCTCAATAATATGGATTACAAGTAAAACACATTCAGTCCTAAAGATATTCATCAAGTTAATATAATATTTTTCAAGTGTTATTAAATATGATTTCTTCCCAAAAAAATAAACATTAAAATTTAGTAAATGAATAATTTAAAAATAAAAAAAATTATCAACAGTTAATAAATTCTATCAGCGTACAAAAATTTTATAAAAAAAAAAACTTCACAATTCCACAGAATAAAAAGAAAACAAAAAGCTGTAGTAGTGTAGAGCATCGAGGTTCACAAAAGTTCATTATTTCCCTTCGTCCCCATTAAACGTAAATAGTTATTTATGTTTAAAATGTATTTAACATTTATATATTATTTAATATTTGAAGAGAGACTGGAGTAAATGAAAGTTAGTTATCTGCGTTGAATAAATAATAACGCTGACAACGGCAGGAGTTTGAGTAGTACACAGCGGAGGCAGCAGGAGGACAATGCAGCCGGCAAATTTCACAGCCCCCGTGATAACATGCTTTAAGTTCGTTATCACTCGACAGTAGATGGAGAAACTATGTTGATGATAGCGCCGAGGAGGGTTCTAGGGCTCTCGAATCGCCCGCTGAGTGGATACTCTTCCTCGTGGCCTCCTCGCATTTGAATAAGACCGTATGCGCATTTAATTCACTTTTTAATCGTGAGTTTCGCAGAGCGTAAGTGTGTAAAGTACCAGCGACTTTAATTTATCTAAAAGTACCCTATTTTTCTGAATACTCTCTATTCCGCTTAATTAAATCACGAAATAAAATCCTTGATTTTCATCATTGCACTCAGTTGAAAAAAAATTAACTTGGTTCAAGAAGAAATATCTTGACCCAAGAAAATCATTTTGAAGAGTATTATTCTATTTAATCAAACTGAAAAATTATTTAACAATTTCTTGGTTCAAAAAATTTTTTTATTTGATTAAAAACATCTAATTATTAATTTAAAAGACATTTTATAATTTAAAAAAATTTTTTATAAAATAAATAATGACAATAAAAACTTTAGAGGAAAAATTCCACTTATAGGAATTACAAAAAACTATTAAAGCAATTTTATAAAAATTATTTTTTAATTTATTTATTTGATAAAATAAAAAAAAATCGTCAATTACTGATTTTAAGTGTCACAACAATTAAACTCTAAAATAATTCTATTTGATTGAAAGCATTTAATTATAATGAATTTAAAAGATATTTTATAATTTTTAGAAATTTTTTATAAAATAAATTATGACAACAAAAACTTTATTATAAAAAATTCCACATATAGGAATTATAAAAAACTATAAATGTAATTTTATAAAAATACCTTTTTATAACTAATTAAAAGACATTTTATAATTTTTAGAAATTTTTTATAAAATCAAATACTTTAGAGTGAAAATTCCACGTATAGGAATTATAAAAAACTATTAAAGCAATTTTATAAAAATAATTTTTTAATTTATTTATTTGATAAAATAAAAAAAATCTTCAATTACTGATTTTAATATCACAACAATTAAACTCTTTAAAATAATTTTTCTATTTGATTAAAAGCATTCAATCATAATGAATTTAAGAGATATATTTTTTTTTTCTTAATTTGTTTAAAGTCGCATAAACTACTAAGGTCATGAGCGACTACTATACGGTAGGGGGTAAACTTTTGAGATTGGAACTCGTTTTATTTCTTGGGCTGAGCAGTATAATACACTTAAATATTGAAAATATTCATTGGTGTACGCCGGACTCGAACCGGGTCCAATGCTTTGGTAAGCAAGGGCCGGATCCGATAGGCTACTGCGCGCCCTAAGAGATATTTTATAAAATAAATTGTGACAAATAAACTTTAGAATAAAAATTTTATATGTAGGAATTATAAAAAACTATTAAAATAATTTTCTATAACTAATTAATTTATTTAATAAAATAAAAAAGTGTTTAATTGCCATGATATTAAAGTTAGCTAACACTTGACCATTTTTTAATTTTATTTAACAAATAAATTAGTACCGAAAAATTATTTTTAAAAAATTGCATTCTTAATTTATTAAAATTTTTAAATGTCAATTTTTTTTTTTCATTTTTTTTTATGCAGTAATTTATTTATTAAAAAAATTATTAAAGTTATTAAATACCTGCTAAATTAATTTTCATTTAATTGTCTGATAAAAATTATTCTTAAAAATGATTTTCTTCGTTCAAAATTTTGTTTTTTATCCTTCCAGTTGAGTTAATTATTCTCCATAAAAAAAAACTACTGTCAGCTGGATAAAAGTTATGTCAATGGAGTTGATAAAATAAACTTTTACGAGATTTATTTTAGTTGTCAATAAACTCGAGCGATATTAATAATTTTTTGTCCATTGAGCGCGTCCCTGAAATCAGCGATGAAAGCTCGCAAAAATCCTTTGAAAAGCTCGGGAAAATAAAAAGCTCATGCACGCTTAGTGTCGGTATATGTCATGTACAGTCTGGATATATCCAGAGAGTGAAGCACATTCTCATATTATATAGAGTGTAGTGGTGGCGAGTATATGAGAATGCATGCATGCATACATATAACACACCGAGGAAAGTCATGTAGACATTAGTAATAAATGAGAGCAAACATTGTCGAGAGTGAAACAGGGATGGAGACCAGTAACCAGTAATAGAAGAGGAAGAGGAAGAGGATCAAACAGAGACAGAGGACTCTAGAATAAACTGACAGAGAAGAAATATAAAGATTAAAAATTCCTGATGAGATTCAATTTTTTTGAATTCATCTTTTATAAATTCTATTCTCTTTTATTCTTAACTGATATAACTTATAGTTATTATTTAAAAAAAACTCACTTTTAGCAGGAGCGAGGACTCAGCATTGGCCTGGCGACGGCCACGGGGACTGACAAAAACGAGCTTAGTGATCCTGCCCGCTGAATGGAGGCAACCTCGCCCGGGCGGCATGACTTACTGTTAACAAATTCACCCACCGATCCACCTTTTCATCACTTTCCCGTCGACACTGCAACTAGAACTAAAACTTTAACTCACTGACAATTATCTTCATTTTTAGGTTATAATTATTTATTATTAATTATTATTTTATTAATTATTTATCATTTTCACTCACCAAGTAAACATTAATGCAAGCTTATAAATAAATAATTATTAAAAATTTATCTGAGCTAGTACCCGAAAGCTAGTACACACATCTTGGGTCCGATTAATCACCATAAATGTCTGGGTTTTATTTTCCAGCTTAATACCCGTTACCAAGGATCACCTCCGCTGAAACATGACTCGCCACTCGAATGTCCTGGCAAGGACTCTGGATATATAAAAAACCACCATTTTATACACACCATGACAAACACCGCAACAGTAAAAGTTTTAATAAATAATTATTTTTGCCAATTTTTAATTATCATACTGAAGTTAGCTGTCAGCTGTCAATTTTAAAAATTTTTTTTAACAATTAAAAAATGCTTTTAAAAATTTATATTAATTTTCACGTGTGGAATTTTTTAATTAAATTTTTTTTTACAATAATTTAATAATAATAAAGTTAGCCGACATTTTTTATTTTTTTATTTTGCCTAATTTATTAAATTATAGCTAAAAAATTTTTTTTTAAAATTGCACTTATAGTTTTTGAAGTTTTTAACAAATGAAAAAAATTTTTGTGACAATTCTTTAATAAAAAAAATCAAGAAAATTTTTAAATGTCGGCTAACTTTATTTTCATTAATAATTTAATTATTATAAAATTATAAAAAAATTTTTAATGTCTGTCAATTTCAATGAAAATTAATTTAGCAGATATTTAATAATTTTTAGAATTTTTGTTAAATAAATTACTGCAAAAAAAATTGACGTAGAAATTTTAAAAAATTAAAATTGCAATTTTTTAAAAATAATTTAATTGTTAAATAAAATTAAAAATTGACCAAATGACAGCTAACTTTAATTTAATTAAACTTCAGTATAATATTTAATTTTATTTATCAAAACAAATAATTTTTTAGCCTAACCATCCAGTGTGATGAATCACAAACAAATCTTCGACACAAACAATCTAATCCGGAGTGACCTCTTGAAGAAACGGCAAGCACAAGTGACAGGTAGTTAAAAAAAATATCACTACGTCAATTGACAGATAAATTATTTAGCAGAGAAGACTAACACTGTAATATAAGGAAGAAAGTTGACAGGAAAGCCGATTAGATGGAATCCCGCGGTTACGGGATCCGGACATACGACACGATGGCCCGGCCACTGCGCCGACACTGAGGACTGAGGGTTCGCCGCAGCCTCGGCCTCCTGGTGCTGCTGCTGCTGCTGCTGCTGCTGCTGCTGCTGGTGCTCTTCCCCACTCAGCTCTCTATCTCGTTCTCTCTTTTTCTGGCTTGTTCCTCTCCTCACTCATCCACCTCGCGGATGGAATATATATCTGGATCCTTGGCACCCCCTCAGCCCTCAGTTCTCAGTCCTCAGCCCTCAAATGCCCCTCGCTGCCCCTCGAGCTCCCTCCTCCCTTGGTTAACTTACGAGGTCCTTCTCTCTTGCGCGAGTATCAACCAGATAGGTGTAGGTTGTAGCACACAACTCGAACTCGCTCATTTCACCACCCCCAATAACTCTTGCCGTCCTGCTCGATCGCACAGCGCTGTACAACCACCCAGAGTATCCCTTCTTTGGGATTTTTACTCACCCAGCCCCGACTGGCGGCCCTGAAGCCACCCTGCCACCCTGCCACCCTGCCACCCCCGCAATTCTCCTCTTTCCCTGGTAGGGGCTTACGTCTCGCGCTTTTATCCATCTCTCGACATTTTTCCGGCTTGGCATCTGCCTCAGTTGCTATTGCCTACTCTTTTCACCCTTTTCTTTCTGCACTCTACCCAATTCCGCGATCACGACTATACTAGACCAAGACCAACTCGAGCCTTGTGCTACTAAACGATTCATCTCCACATCTTGCGTTACTATTTCTATTTTATTTTATTCCGAGCTTTTTATTAGATCCCCTCTTGGTTTATTTCACCACCAATCCCACGGACATTGATATCTTTGTCGTCTGTATGTAAGGTATTAAATCTTTCAACTACGTCCAGGCTATTTTCTATTACATCTTTTTTACTTTTATTATTATAGTCTTCTTTGGTTTTCTTTTTTTTATTTTAGTTTATTTTATTGGGCGCAATATCGCTCCGTGTGTTTTTAGTTATTATCCCAGATGAGTTATTATTCTCGAGTGGTGATAAGTTAATAACAGCCTGCGAATTAACCTGGGAAATTAGTATTTCTTAGCTCGTAAAAAGTTTCTGTTGTTATCAATTTTTTTTTTCTTCTTTTAGAATATTAAAAAAGTAGGTAAATGTTTACAAGTGGGGTCATCATTTTTATTTTCATTTTCTTTTAATGAAATTTTTATTTGATTTTATTGATACATTTTTTTCTTTGAAAAATAGATAAAAAAAAATTAATTATCACAAATTTAATAAATTTTAAAAAATTTATAAATTTTTTAGAAAATTATAATATTCAACTTTTTTTTTAATTGTTCGTTTTTTTTGTACTTTAAAAAAAAAAAAATATATCAAAAATACCAAAAAAAATAAAATAGAAATTTTATCCAAAAACATGAGAGCCAAAATAAAAAAATGAATAATTATTTTTATTTATTTATTAAATAGTATATACATAATGTTCAAATAAGTACAGTAAATTTTGGAGTGTTATTAAAATATATAAAACAGATTGCATTTAAAAAAAAAAAAGAAAAATGTACATCACGTTACTATATTATTTTCCAGCATACTAATTTTTAATTATTCATTACTTAATAAAAAATCAAATAATTTAATTTTGAAACTCTCTAAACTGAGAACTTTTACAATTTCAGGAGGAAAGTCCTTTCAAAATCGGATATCCGATATTACAAATGAATGCTCATAATTAAAAAAAAAAAAAAGTTGATTATCACAATTTTAACAAATTTTCAAAATTTTCAAAAAAATTTATAAAATTGTGATTCTTAACTTTTTTTTTTTTAATTGTTCGTTTTTTTATTTACTTTTCAAAAAAAAAAAAAAATATATCAAAAACATCAAAAAAAGATAAAATTTAAATTTTATCCAAAAACATGAGCCAAAATTTTTTCCAACTTTTGAAGGCAGAAAAGCTATCGAAATCTTTATTTTTTTTTTTCACGACATTGTAAATAATTTATCACTTGTAAATAATTACCAAAAAGTATTGAATATCTACAAGAGTAATTTGATATTTTTCTTTTATAAAATTAAAAAAAAAATTATTTATAAAATTATTCCAAGTACTTTTTTTTCTATAAATAAAATAATTTTAAAAAAATGATCAATACTCGCTACTTTAATATAATAAAATTTTTCAATTTTCTCAATTGAAATAAAATTTTAAAAATGATACCAAAGAAGAAAAAGTAATAAAATTAAAGAAAGTATATACAGTGAAAATGAAGTCAATACTTTTACTCGTCTCGGCGTAGATCCTTTCATTGCAGTGTAAGAGTTAGAGTTTAGAAAGAGCTTGAAAAGTTCACGGTCGTGATATATGCAAAGTAGATCCTCGTCAGGGTTTCGCCTGACCTGTTCTTAAATTTCGATCTTTATCGTCTTGGAGTAAACCCATTTCTTTCTCGTAATCCATTCTGGAATATAAAGTAACATTAATTCATGCATACATTTATATTTATAGAAATACATTTAATTTATTTGATATCTTAGCCCGATTAATCGGGCGTTTATCTTGAAGGATTACTTATGACGTATCCTTGGATAACTGTTAACCTTTTACAACAATTGGAAATTCGTAATGGTATTTGTTGTAATGCAGGAGCTATCAACATCAACATCAACATCAACATTGTCGGGTCAAGGCGTAGCGCACAATACCGTCTTATATTAATAAATCCCCAAGGTTTAAATAAATGTGTGTTGAGTAAATGTAAATTCACACGTTTAGCAAAGAGGTGACCTGGACTGAAGAAAATCAGATCCCTGGGTGGTGTAGTACCCTGGGAACAGTAATGGGCAATTGCGTGTCGGGCGGTTGTTTCTGCCTACGGCATAACATGTTAAGTCTGTCTGACTTTCTGGGATCGTTTTACTTGCACGAAACCGCCCAAACACTAACTAAACTTTCGAATAATAAATTAAACTCTTTGTATAATAGCTTTAATTTATCTAGCTACTGCTTGCTACTCCCGTATTTCTCAACTTCAAATTTACTTTATAAATAATTTTTTATTTTTACAGCTTATAATAATGTACAGAGTAAATAAACAGAAGGAGGAATTTAAAATAACAAAAAAAAAGATAAATAAGTACTACGTCGTTTTTGTTATTTTTTAAATGCAATTCGCTCTTTATTCAAACGCACACAATAACTTTTGTTCAGTGGAGTATTTTTTGTTTTTGTAGCATTCCATCGTAGCTTTTTTTTGCCTCCATTTATGCTTTTTTATTTATCTTAAAAATTTATCGATCGCAGGCTTTATTAAGCTCATTCTTGTGATTCAATCACACAGTAATTTATTTTATGTTCATTTATTGCCGAATCGATACGAGTTTATTATTAATAATAATAATAATTTTCAGTTTTATTTGTTGTAAATTAATTCATTTTTTTTGTTCATTTTAATAAATTACATGATTACATTTATTATTTTTATGTTGATGTAATTTACAATCGAAAATTTTGTCGAAAAATATAATTTATGAAATTTTATATAAATTGATTATTATTATTATTAATTATATTTTTATAATTAATATTATGATTATTATTACAATAAAAGATTCGCCTAATTTTTTTATTACTCATACCTTAATAAAATTTACGTATTTTATTATGTAGTCACAAATGCGAATGTTAATTGCCAACCAAAAATAATTACATTTATTAACTTATTTATATATATATATATATATATTTATATATATACTTTTACAAGTAATACTTAGTCAATAATGAAATCACTATTCCTCAGAATAATTCCATTTACTCGTAGCGGCTTACTAGCTTATTTGATTTATGATATTAATGAAATTATACTATTTTCCGTAAAGTATTATTCTTTTATTTTTGCTATCATTACGTAAAAAATAGCTACCGATACTCTACTTAACTTGTTTACTTATTTTTTTTTTTTAACACCTTTTTATTTATTTATTTATTTATTTAAAAATAATTTATTAATAAATAAATAAATAAATAAATTTATTTATATTTAAATGTATATTAAATACTCATGACATGACACATAAAAAACGTCAACTTATTTTTTGGCAATAAGGCTAGTGAAATTAAACACAATCACTAGGTTTGGCGCAATGGTGATGTACAAACATGATATAATTATAATAATAATTATAATAATAATAATAATGTTATTATAAATGACAATAATAATTAACATTTATATAATTAAATTGTATCTACTTACAATCTATCAATAATTATTTTATCTGTATACTGTGCAACCAAATAGTTACTTAATAATTATTTATAAATATCCATAACTAAAACTAATTACCAATATATATATATTTATATATATTAGGGTGGCGCAAAAAAACCGACTATTTTTTTTTTTTTAATTCTCGAGTGAAAAAATGTCAGTTTTTGATGTTTTAAGAGCCCTCATCAAAGGACAGCTCAAAAAAAAATTTTTAAGAGGTCGCTCAAAATTTTTTTAAATTTCAAAACTCGAAATTTTTTTTTCTCATGAGCGACCTTTTAAAATTCACATTTTGAACTGAAACTTTCAGAAAAACCTTCTTTTTTACTCTATAAAATTATGACGTAACGAGAAAAAAAAATAAAAAAAAAAATTCTATTTTTGAAATTTAAAAAAATTTGGAGCGACCTCTTAAAAATTTTTTTTTAAGCTGTTCTTTGGAGAGAGCTCTTAAAACATCAAAAACACATTTTTTCACTCGAGAATTAAAAAAAAAAGTCAGTTTTTTTGCGCCACCCTCATATATAATATTATTAATAATAATGAAATTAAATAAAATAAATTTAATTATTGAGTTGTCAAGACGCCGAGAAAAATTGCTGCAAACGTTGTACTGTCCTCCGATCTAAAGCGCAAAGATCAAAGTCAAACGTTTTACGTGTGATTTCATACTGTCCCGTGGCCGCAATAACTTGAACAACACGTTGTAACTCCTGATTGTCCTGCAGAGTCATTATTTTTTGTTGCAAGTCTTTAAGCTGAGAGACATAATCTTCAGAGAATACCAGCGGCTCGTCAGTTTCCGACTCAATTAGCACGCTGTTGGTAGAATCTGGGGCTATTTGTTCGCTCTCATGCTCAAATTCTTGTTTAACAGTTTCCATTTCTTCGGGCAGTTCTTTAGCAGCCGTGTACCCGGCTGTCATTTCGATAGTTACCGGTGACTGGCTGGAAGAAACGGGTTCTAATGGTGGCGAAAATCCCGTGTCTTTTTCACGTTTTGCCGGAACTTCCTCTTCGCCTTTGCTGTCACTGCGTCTTTTTCTCTTCCTATTGTCTCTTTCTTCATTACCATTATTACCCCCAGTACCACCACCCCCAACAGCAGTGCTACCTGTCGCATTGCTGCCTCTAACAGGCTTTAATTTTTCCTTTTTCACCTTATCACTGCGCTCACGTTTCACATGATCAGAGCCCGGCGATAACGGCCTGGCAGGTCGCTGCTGGCTCTCAGTATTATTTTTGACAGTCTCCGGCTCAATTTTAGTGTTCAAAATCGTCTTCGAGTCTTCCTCATCCCCAGAATTCGCAGAGTCACTACTATTATCACGATCACGATCGTGAGTTTCGGGAATCGCGGAATTTGTCTGCGGAGGGTTACTCGTAACAGGAGCGGATTCTTTTTCATAATTTTTCTTGTCCCTTTTATCTTTTCTTTCGCGTTCGCGACTATCATCAGTCCTTTCTTTCTTCTCCTTCTTCCGATGCTTGTGCTTCTGACGATCCTTGTCACTGCGTGGATCTTTGACCTTCTCAACAACCTCCGGTGGCTTATCGCTCCTGGACTTGGAATTGCTTCGATCCTCCTTAACAGGTTTGGGCGATTTTTTTCCGTCTTTCAGCTGCTTGCTCTCCTGAGGTTTATCTTTCTCCGTCTTATCATGCTTATCCACTTTATCGAGACTCTTTTTGCTATCAGAACTCTTTGGTTCTTTAACTTTATCACGATCTTTATCACGCGTTTTATCCTTACGCTCGGGATCTTTTTCATCTTTATATTTCTTCTTCTTTTTATCGTTTTTCAATTCCTCGAGCGAGCCAGCATTGGTACCACCGCTGCTGCTACTGCTCTTTGGAGCCTCTTTAACTTTATCCTTATCTTTACTGCTCTCTTTCTCCGTCGCCAATTTCTTGTGGTCTTTCTCACGTATTTTAGGTGAAGAAGACGACTTTTGCGCGCTTCCAGAATCAGGTGGGCTGAGCTGTTGCTTTTTAACAGCTGGAGCCGCTGGCGAGGGAGGCCTTTTACTACTAGGACTCGCATGACTATTTTTACTACTTACCGGACTAGGAGGTCGCTTGCTCTTCTCTTTACTACGCTCTTTATCCCTCGTTACGTCTTTACCTTTTTTGTCTTTCTTCTCTTTCTCTTCACTGTTATTTTTATCACGTTTACCGTCCTTGTGAGGACTGTGTTTTGTTTTAGCAGCCTTACTCTCATTTTTTTCCGATTTATCAGGTGGTAATTTTTGATAACTCGTCTTTTCGCCAGTCTTGCTTTTATTTTCCGGTGATACTTTTGATGTTTTTATTGGAACGCCGAATAAATCTGCAAACACTGTTTTTGGCTCTGAAACACGATGTTTTTTGGTATCACTACCACTCAGTTTAGGCTTTCCAACCATCGGTACAGATACTTTTGATTCACTTTTATCATGTCCCTCTTCAGTAGCTGGGACTAAAATCTAAAAAATTCAAATTATTAATTTCATTTATTAAATAAAAACACTACAGATCTTTTATTAAAATTAAGCGGGATAGCCACTGTAAAATTTAAAAAAAAAAAAAAAAAATTTTTGTTTTTTATTAAATCAAAGTTTATATATTCAAGAATATGTATCTAGAGTTCGGCTGCCCAATTTTAAAACACAGTAACTGCAAAATTTTTATGCCTATTTTTTTTTTTAATATTGCTGCATTTTTTATAATTTTTAGACCTTAATTTCAAGTATTTTTTCTTAAAAATATTTATATTGAAGTGTTTTCTATTCATAAATCAAATTTTCATCAATTTGGCAGGCAAACTTTTTTTTATTGAGAAAAATTTCTAAATGTTAGTTACTGTGTTTTAAAATTGGGCAGTCGAGTTTTATATGAAAATTCCAAATATTTTTCGAGTTAAAGTCATTTTTGTTACAGTGTGTAAAATGACCATTGCACGCACGGCGCTCCAACGAAAACGCGTTTTTCTTGAAACTACTTTTTTTGAACTGGTGGGATCTGTAATTTGCATAAATATGAACCGATTTGCAACTTTTTTTTTTTTTATGCATTCGTCTATTCAGTAGCTATAGTTTCACGTAGGGGATTTTTAAAATTTTGATTTTTAAGATTTTTTTAGGGCTGTTTGACTCCAAAAAAATGAGAAAAAATTTTTAATATGTCGTCACTTTTTTTAATCCAAATTTTAAAAATCCCCTACGTGGAACGATAACCACATGCATGCAGATTACAACGCAGTTTGGTTTTTTTGTTTTAGACAATCCGTTTTTGAGTTAGAGACCCCACCGTGGTGAGGGAAATTTTTTTGGTGCTCCAAAAAAATGCTAACTTTGTAACAACATGATATTTTTTAATCAAAATTTAGGAGAATGATACTTCAATGTATACTTTATAAAACAAAAAAACCCAATCCCCAAATTCCTTTATTATCCCAGTCAAAAAAATTCCCTATTTTTTCGATCCTCACAGTGACTATCCCCCTTAAAAATAATTTTAAGTTACGATTGTTATGCAACAGATGTTTTTGATAAAAAATAAAATAAGTAAACAGAAAAAAATACTTACTCCACCGCCTTTTAACAATTTCCTTCGAAATTCATCCGACGGAGTGAAAAACAATTCTGTATGTGTCAAAACACTGTTCAAAGGTGGTCCACAATCTTGGAGCGTCAAATCATACTGAACCTCTATTTTCTTGGGTTCGTCATTATTCTTCAAATGAATAACAATTGGCAATATAAATCCAGCGTATCCAGACTCTTTTAATGAATACGGCGGGTTTTTGACAGTCCGCTTAGGATTCGAGAAAGTATCGTGGAGGACAAAGACAACTGAAAAGCATATAAATATTAGATGATATGTGTATTGATTTGCAAATGATGTGAGTACTATCCCAGGTAACGTACTATTTATTTCGCTATACTCTCATCAGTATAACAACAATAGAATAATAGATAGATTTAATAAACGTTATATACCTTTCTTAACATACTGGCTTATGTCCGCGTTGTCAGCACCCCGAACATACAGGTCCCAATCGTGAGTATATCCTTCAGGAGTAGTCCTTGCTCTTAACATCGACGTATGTCCAAATTCCAGGGCTATTTTTATTGCCATTATTTTTCTAAAAAATAACAAAACAAACGTGAGTATCAGTAAGTAGTATCCACGTGGATTTTATCAATAAACAAATCTACAGATAAAAGCTAACCTAAAATTAATTTTTTTACATACCTCGTTAGTAACAGTCATAAATATTTATCAATAAACTGTAATAACTCATAAGTTTCTCGTTGAAGATAAAAATAAACAGTTGATTGGTATTACTTCACAAGTTATTGCAGTCTTAATTATCACATCGAGATTTTTATCCAACTCAATAAATAAACTTATTAAAAAAAAAAAAAAAAAATAAAAAAAAAAAAAAAAAATAATAAATAAACACTTATAGAATATAATTGTCTATAAAACGTATCAACTTTCAAAATAAATTATCACAGAATAAACCCAGTTAAATCGTTGACATAAATAGTTTGTTTTTTAAAAAAATATTTACTTCACTGTCAACAGCAGTGACCAAATATAAAATATAATTATTATAGTAATAATAATAATTACTATTATGATAACTCTTGTTGGCCATTATCTATTTTCATATATAAATAACTTGTGCCATCGTTACTCCATGAATAGCACGAATGGTTGCGTATACGTGATAACTGATATGGCTACTGGCCCTCTATCTATGGAACGTTCATTTTTTTCAGATCTACAAGAATTATCCCGCAGAGCCACCAATCACAGGAGACTATTAGACAGGATGACTGCTGATGCAGGCACACTGGGTATTGGAGGAAGAAAATGGCGCGAGCCAATCATTTCTTCGAAATTTCACGAATCACCGCTCTCACTTTCACCAAAGTTTCTGCCGTGCATACGTGTGACTTCCGAAGGCGCCAGTTTAGCCAAGTGGAGCTTAGAATAACTAAATTTGTTGATACCAACTGGATGTACCTGAGGATTTGAAATTATTTATTGCTAATTTTAAATTCTTTTGAAATAATAAAAGGTAATTTTATGAAAATTAATTTAGTGGATATTTAATAATTCTAAGAATTTTTTTAAGAAATAAAAAATTCTATTTTTTTTTAATAATAATAAAGTTAGACGACATTTTTTATTTTTTTATTTTGCTTAATTTATTAAATTATAACGAAAAAATATTTTTTAAAAATTACACTTATAGTTTTTCGAGTTTTTAATTAATGAAAACAATTTTTTTTTATTTTTTTGTAATAATTTTTTAATAAAAAAAATCATATTAATTTTTTTTAATAAATAAATTTGCTCCGAAAAATTATATCTAAAAAGTTGCAATTTTCATTTTTTTAATTTTGTAAATGTCAATTTTTTTTTTTGTCATTTTCTTCGACATAATTTATTTCTTAAAATTATAAAATATCTGCTAAATTAATTTTCATAAAAATTTTTAGATGTCAGCTAATTTTATTTTCATTTTTTTTAAAATAATTTTTTTGAACAAATTCATTTGTTAAAAAAAATTAAAAAATGGCCAATGCTAACTTTAATGTCATATTAATTTTTAAACCATTATTTAGTTATTATAAAAATTATTTAAACTATTGAAAAAAAATTTCCTCGGAAAATTTTTTTATTTTCATTGAGCAAATTAGTCTCCAGATATGAAATTATTACAAAAAAAATAAAATTTCATTTTTAAAAAACTTGAAAAACTATAAGTGCAATTTTTTAAAAATATTTTTTTAATTCTAATTAAATAAATGAAAAATAAAAAAATTAAAAACGTTAGCTAACTTTAGTATTATTTTCCAGATTGGTAATATCAGCTATTACATTGACCTCAGCTCGCCTAACTGTCATTCGTAAAACCTCGAGTTAACCGGAGGAACGAGGATGGGAGAAGAAAGCAATAAAAGGTAAAAGTAATAAATAGTTTGACGGATTTTCAAAGTTGGCGGCAGAAACGACAGTCCCCGGCTTCCATCTTGGTGTGTTCGTTTGAGAAGCCGGGTCCTCGTAAATTAATCTACTTACGTGGATCGCGTGGTTAATTATTATTAATTTAATAATTATTGTATTATTGCTGGAATATATTGTCGATAAGTAGTTATATTTTTGGTACTCTGGGTGTACGGTATGCTCTAGGTAAGACCTTTTATCTATATGATACCACACACACTGATTATTTAAAGACGTAAGTGTATGTTAGAGATGCATGATAATATTATAAAAATTTTTTTCTTTCCTTGTACTGACTACTGTGGGTGTGATAATATTCATTAATACTTTTGTTATTTAATTTTATTAATTATTTTCAAATTTTTTATTTATATCCAACTAATTATTGACATTATTTACCGTCATTTGTTTATTATTTATTAATTTTTCTTCCAATTTATTTTATGTATTGAAAGATTTTTATAACTGACAATCAGGTTAGGTTTCGTGAGACATCAATACTATTAGTTAATTTATTAATTTTTTTTTACTACCTTCAATTCCAAAGTCTAATTTTTTTTTTTAATAATTTTTTTGTGGTAATTTTTCTGCATAATAATTAAATAATAAATAAATTTAATTTTTTCAGGACTGGTGAAGCATTTACGTGTTAGTGGTTCGGTGAGCGGCTATGCTGGTGTAGAATTAAACAGTACCATTGTACGTAATAGTCGGAAATTAAGTCCATTAATCAATAGTGTTAACGATTTATATTATTTTTGCTCCAAATCATACTGCGAAATGGCATTACCGAGCAGAGCACGTGTTTATGCTGATGTTAATTCACATAAACCGAGAGAGTACTGGGATTATGAATCATATGTAGTCGACTGGGGGTGAGTATTCTATTTGTTTAGTTATATAAATTAATATTGGTCATAATTAAGCTTAAACTTTATATAAATTGTCTAGATTTAGTCTTATAAAACATAATTTGTTATCAGACTGGACGTTAGTAGGAATTGATTCATATCATTGTACTTTGTTTGTTGACTTAAATTTAATTTTAAAAATATGATAAGTCACGATTAATTACTGAACTGACTGGTCTGATCTTTCTACTAATTATAATCCTAATTCTCTATGCAAACTATTTTATGAAATGGCGTTAATTTATATCTATAATTACTCAAATTTATTTATTTATTCTCATTACAAAAAAGTTCTATAGGGTTCGATAGAACGACTACATATTAAATTATATATTTTATTATCAACAATCATTTAATATAATACGGATAGTAATAAAGTAATACTTAATACAATGAAAGCTAAAAAAAATATCCTAGCAAAAGTTTGTAGTTTATATAAATTTTATAAGTAATATTGTTGCAGAAATTATATTAATATTACGATTTTTAATTAATTATCTATTTTAATCCATTCAGTTTTTTATTTATTAGTTTCTTCATACACGGAAAGAACAAGATGACACTGGATATCATCCCAGATTATACTCAGTGATATCTGGTGAAAAAAAATTTCAGATAGTATTTAAAACAATATTTGACTATCCTATCTCTGCTACTACCTGAATAGCTACTATCTGAAATTTTTTTTCACCACAGATATCACCGAGTATAATCTGGGACGACATCCAGTGTTATCTTGTTTTTTCCGTGTATAATTACTCAAATTTTCTTCATACAAATTTGTTACTTTTTTATTTTTTATGTTTACCTACTCGAGTATTTATGAAGCGATTGCTGCAATTTGAATTTATTATTTAACTTTTTTGGTTATCTTGTCATTACTAAAATAATTTAAGATTAATTACTTTGTAAAGATTATTAACCCTGTTAATGGCTACGGCTGTTGGGTTTGGTTGTAAATAAATAAATAAATTTCTTATTATCTTTTGTAGGCAACAAGACGATTATCAATTAGTAAGAAAATTAGGTAGAGGAAAATACAGTGAAGTATTTGAAGCTATCAATGTTACAAACAATGAAAAATGTGTTGTGAAAATATTAAAGGTTGGTAATTTTTTTTAAATAAATTTGTTGAGTAATGATAATGATAATAATAATTGGTTTATAATTGTAGCCGGTGAAGAAGAAGAAGATAAAACGGGAAATAAAAATCCTCGAGAATCTTCGAGGCGGAACTAATATAATAACACTGCAAGCCGTTGTTAAAGATCCTGTTTCAAGGACACCCGCATTAATATTTGAATACGTCAATAATACAGACTTTAAACAACTTTATCAAACACTTACGGATTATGATATTAGATATTACCTCTATGAGCTTCTCAAAGTTTGTTTATTTTATTTTATTTTTTTTTTTTATTTATCTTCATGATATAAATATTGATTATTGATTTGATAATTGTCTATAAATAATCTTAAACAGGCACTGGATTACTGCCACAGCATGGGCATTATGCACAGAGATGTTAAGCCGCACAATGTTATGATCGATCATGAGAATCGTAAGCTGCGTTTAATTGACTGGGGATTAGCTGAATTTTATCACCCGGGACAAGAATACAACGTTCGTGTTGCATCACGGTATTTCAAGGGACCAGAATTGCTCGTTGACTATCAGGTAAACAAATATACATTTTACTATTGATAATAATTTCCATTTTTTATCGGAAATTAATACAAAAAAATCACAGGTAATTAGAATTAATAAATGACAAATTAAACAATCATGTTATTGTTATTTTGACTCTTTATTGAGTCTTTATGAAGACAATAACATGATTGTTTAATTTATTATTTATTATGCCAACTATCTGTGATTTTTCAAATTATTATTATTAATAATAATAATAATAATATTTTATTGAATAAAAAATTAATTAAAAAAATTTTTAGATGTACGACTACTCTCTGGACATGTGGTCCTTGGGTTGCATGCTCGCGAGCATGATATTTAGGAAAGAACCGTTCTTCCACGGGCACGATAACTATGATCAACTGGTGAGGATCGCCAAGGTATTAGGTACCGAAGAGCTCTTCGAGTACCTCGACAAATATCATATTGAGTTAGACCCGCGGTTCAATGATATACTGGGCCGTCATTCACGCAAACGTTGGGAACGTTTCGTTCATTCAGAAAACCAACATCTTGTATCTCCTGAGAGTCTTGATTTCCTTGACAAACTCTTGCGCTACGATCACTACGAGAGATTAACCGCGCGAGAAGCAATGGATCATCCTTATTTTTGTAAGTTTTTTCTATTTATAATATAGTTTTTTTTTTTTTGTCCAAAGAATTAATTTTAATATTTTATTTTTATTACTTTAGATCCAATAGTAAAAGACCAAGGTCGACTAACAATGGTTTCATCTTCACCTACTCCCATGACAGGCTCGATGCCTGTAGGTGAGTAGCAACTCAGGTAAAGTCACCATCAATAATTTTTTTTTAATATTTTTTTGTTCATTAGTCTAATACCTCTTATCCAAGATTAAGAATCTTGATTAAAATAACTTTAATTTAATTCAATAATTATACTTAACACTCAAGGGAATAGTCATCCGGTGAAGTATTAAGGGGGATAGCCACTGTGAAATTTCAAAAAAAAAAAAAAAAAAAAAAAAAAATTTTTTTTTTATCAAATCAAAGTTTATACATTGAAAAATATGTATCTAGAGTTTTATAAAAAAAAATTCTGAAGATTTTTGTCAATATTATGTCTGAGTACTTTTGCTTTCTTTATCTGCACCATATCATACTTCTGTATGTTTATTAATAAATAAAGTAAAGTAAATAAAATAAATACTTCTAAGAAATATAATTAAAATTTAACGAGTGCGCATAGCTGTTGCGCGTCGTTAAAATGTTCTAGTCCCTTGAAAATCAATTTTAAAATCATTTAAGTCTTAGTGTTAGTACTATATACATTTGAAGAGTAAGAGGCTTGGTGTACATTTATGCTAATTATACTTGGAATTGGGTTGTTTCAGGTGCCCATAACGAGACAATGAACTCATTGCCAGCTACTGGATCGGCTGGACAACAAGAAAATATGAGTGGAGTAGCCACTGGCATGGGCTTCTTAGAGGAGCTTTCTTCAATTCAGCCGATTTCACAGCTATCAAAAGTTCAACATTAGTCAAAAACAGAGGAAATAATAATGATTATAAAACATCTTTAATTAACAACAGTACACCCGTATATGATGATTTCATTGTACCATCGACAACATCAATAATAATAATAATAACAATAATTATAACAAGAACAAGGATAGATACTTCTGAATTAATGGCATTCCGGTTTATCAATTTGACGGCAACGATATTTTTTCATTGAGACTGAAATATGTCATTTTTTGTTTTTTTGATAATAGCTGTTTTCAATATTAAAGATTAAAGTTAACAAATTATTAAAGTACTTAGTTGATTCGACAATAATTTTAAGTTATATAAAAAGATTTAAAGTAATAAAAACATTTGAATTTTCATTTTTGATATTGATAATAATTAAAATAATAATAAAAAAAAAAAAATAATAAAAGCCTTCGCATTGTTTACGGTCAAGTGACGGGTGGTTGTTTAATATTACAATTATAATTATAATAATTATTATTAATAATTAATAATTAAGACGTACGCCGAACTGATGAATTTTTTTTAATTCGTGTAATTCACGGATCTAATAGCAATGTTCCTGTCATATTTCTAGTTATTATTGGATAATAATTGTTATAGTTAAGGGGACCCGGTGGTCTAGCGGCCTAAAATTTAAACTATTTTAAAAATTTTATTTCTATATCAAGGGAATGACTAATGCTTTTGAATTTTTTTTGCACTTATTCTATTACTTATCAACTACACAAAAATGAAAATCAAAAAAAAAAAAATTTTTTTTTTTTTCATTCTAGTATCGAGGATAACTATATACTTGTTATACTAATTAAAAATCAGTCATATTTTTCAATTTCAGATCAAAAGGAGAGATCATTTTTTTTGAGAGGACTTCAGCGCCATTTTTCTAATTTAAAAAAAATTTTTTTTTGTTTTGATTTTTATTTTTGTATAGTCGATAAGTAATAGAATAAGTGCAAAAAAAATTTGAAAGCATTCGTCATTCCCTTGATATAGAAATAACATTTTTAAAATAGCTTAAACTTCAGGCCGCTAAATAATAATAATAACAATAATAATTGATGAAAAATTAAGATCGTTAACTGACCAAGGAGCCAATACATTTATAAGTATCCAAACTCGCATTCACTCTCTATGTACATGATTACTTTAAACAAATTTAAAAGAAGAAATGAAAAAATAAGTAAGCAAAAAAAAAAAAACAATAATATAAAACAAATAATAAAAAATAGTAAATTTAATTTAGCATTTATAAGTACGATTTAGATTCTTCACTTATATATTTTAAAAATAAATGAACAAAGGAAAGAATTATTTAAAATATTAAGATAAAAAAAATTTTAGTCAATAATTTTCACCCAGTAATTACACAACTTTATTATTATTATAAATATTAATTATCTCCCACAGAATCCTCAATTTCAATAAAAAAATGAACAAACGGACCTCTTCGGAAGTTTGTATCCGTAAATTTGTTAATTTAAATATATAAATATATATAAATGTAATTTTTATTTATCCCTAAGTCGATAAATTTTAATTATTACTTTAAAATATGAATGACGAGTAATGAAATAACAATTAAAATATTAATAATAATAATAATAATAATTAATAAAAGTAAAAATAAAACTAAATTTGTATGAATCTTTTAATGGAAAAATTTGTCGATGGTAATTTATATAATTATAATCAATACTGTACATGATTTGCTTTAACGCAGACTTGTGCAGGCGTATTTATACATAAAATAAAAAAAAAAAAACAAACAAATAAATCGCTTACCGCATATATTATAAGTTCTAGATAAATGTAAAAGTTTTTAATGATAAAAAATATTTGTTTTCATTCACTCTCGGCAATGTAACCAATAGAAAAGAAAAAAAAACAATTATTAAATATGAAATAATTTTTTTCTAAAATACACGCGTTTTAAAGTTCTATATGTTTATCTTCACTCTTAGATTCATCTGTAGTATTTGTAGCTTCAGGTAACGCTGGTGTATCTTCAGGAGCTACTGGTTCTTCAGCTGCCTTAGCATCAGTGTCTTCAGTATCAAACGTCACTTCTTCGTCGCTATCAGTTGTACTTGACGAATCAGTTTCATTAGCCTTCGAAGTGTCTGATTTTTCTGTTTGGTTTACACTCTCTTGCTTGGGCTTCCAGATTTTCGCCTTGTTGACTAAGTATTTTACCTCGCGATCAAGCAGAGCCATTTTATTAGCAATGTCTCGTACTGAATATTTCACCGGCTCAAACAGAGGAGTCTCGTTTGTTGTTTTGACAACCAAGTCATGGTATTCCTAAATAAATAAATATATATAAGATATATGAAAAAATCCATGTGGATACACAAATTAAGAAATGTCAATAATTAAGAAATGACTCTGTATATTGTGAATTGTTGACATTTTTAAAGATATAAGCTCATTCCGATGTTACACTCATTGAGACCTTTCATTTGAGTACCCACATCAATTTTTTCATATATATATATATATATATATATGAAAAATATATAAAAATTCCATGTGGGTACTCAAATGAAAGCTCTTGATGAGTGTAACATCGGAATGAGCTTATATCTTAAAAAATATCAATAATTTAGAAATTACCTTGTATCTTGTGAACTATTGACATTTTTAAAGATATAAGCTCATCCCGATGTTACACTCATCAAGACCTTTCATTTGAGTACCCACATGCATTTTTCATATATTTTATAAATATCATATATCATATATATAAAATATATGAAAAAATTCATGTGGGTACTCAAATGAAACGTCTCGATGAGTATAACGTCAAAAAGAACTTATATTTACGAAAATGTTAATTATTAAGGAATGACCATTGCATTTTGTTAATTAATGATGTTTTCAACTATACAAGCTCATTCCCAAAATTTCTAAATGTAAGACATGTGTACAGGACAACGTCAGTCGGTTCCGCTAGTTAAATAAATATTTCTCAAAAAAATTACCTGAGTTTCATTGATAGTTTTTTCTAGCTTATCAATTTCAACTTGAGTAAATATTTGTTCAGCACCTTGGACATTCTTCATGTTAGTCAAGAAGACATTGCTTCCATTGAGCATTGACCGCATACCAGCGAGTACATCTGGACGCTCGCGATGTTCAAACACACGTTCATAAATTCCAGCTGTTTTTTCCTTCAATTCAACCAACTTTTGTTCATACAAATCAGTTGGCGCATCAAACCCATCTTCATACAACCAATCGGATGTCGTCTGACATATCTTTGTGATTTCTTCAACTTCTTCGGGGGTGGAAGCTTTCTTGTACTCTTCAGTCGTCAAATATTGCAGCGTGTCGATAACAAATGACTCCAAATTATTTTGTGCTGTTTCTCTCTTTACTTTATCTTTATCACGTTGCTCCAGAGCTCGCAATCTACAAAACAAAAATAATCATAAAATAAATAACTCAAAAAATTATGTATAGATATTTAAATAATAAAAAAAATAATAACGTTTCAAAAGAAGCTTCTAATTTATTGCCAGTCAATTCTTGAGGTCCAAATTTATCCTGGTTGGCACTGATGGGCTCTTTGAGAACAGTTAACGTCGGTTTCTTTTCAACTTTAGTCTCAGTTTGATTTGACGTTTTATCGTCAGATTTAGTCTCATTATCAGTCTTAGCTTTTTCGTCCTCTGGCTTAGCCGGCTGTTCCGGATCTTCATGGACGGGTTTAACATCTTCCTTGAGTGGCTCTTCAGATTTTTCCACTTGATCAGTCTCTTCGGCTCCTGAACAATAATTTAATTTACAAAGTTGTTGAAAGTTTTATTTAAGTTTAAGGGAGAATAATATAAAAAATAACTAACCAGAGAAAAGTTGGCTTATAGTTGAACCTAATTTAGACAAAGTACCCTCATCTTTAACTTCGGTAATAGTTTTCTCAGCAACAGCTTCAACATTAACTAGATTTAGAATACCACTGTCATCCATCAGGAAATGTGCCTTTATACCCTTGCTCTCTGCGTTTTCTTTAGCATGTTTCTCAAGTGCTTCCGTGACTCCCGATAAATTAATTACCGATAAGTTCAAACTTCCAATAGCTCTGTTAATTAAATTTATATTATAAATTATAACTTACTTATTAAAAATTAATTATCAATTATTATTATTATTTATTGTTTATTACTCACTCAATTTCATGAGCAGGTAAATAATCTAAATCAGCGTAATTAACAGCAAAAGAAAAGTCTCCTTTACGTTTATTGAAAGTTATGATTTTCTTTTGTGGGTAAGAATTCATTCTTCCGAATAATGTTCTTCGTACCTATAAAAAAAAAAATTAACACGTGTTATACAATACTTTATAGAGCATATAAATTATCGCTATTGCGATTGTAATTACTAGTTGACATATACATTACCTGTTTGTTACCCTTTTCTTCATTAGTTTTATCAAATACAATTTGAATTGGAAACAGAACAGAGTCTTTGATAATAAATTTAGTTACTTTGAAACCCTGACTTAAGTCAGCAGCTCTGTAAACTCCACCTAGAGCGGCGGCTTCGTCAGTATTTATATTTTTCGATAGATCACTTCCTACGAATTCAGTCAATATTTCTTGGATTTTAGGCATACGAGTACCCGCTCCAACTAACACAACTTGAGAAATTATATCCATTGTTAAACCTGTTGAAAAAAAAAAAAATGATTAATTTAATGAAAAATAATACTAAAACCAGCAACCTAGTAGTCACTATGTGGCTGCCGTGATTTGTCAATATGAATAAATAAAACTTTGCTTTATTGAATTAATGACTTTTGTTAAATTGCACTGCTCTTTTTTAACTATTGATATTTTTAAAGATATAAGCTCATCCTGATGTCACACTCATCGAGAGCTTTCATTTGAGTACCCACATAGCATTTTCATATATTTTTCATATATACATATATATATATATATAATATATATGAATATATGAAAAATTGATGTGGGTACTCAAATGAAAGGTCTTAATGAGTGTAATATCGGGATGAGCTTATATCTTTAAAAATGTCAATAGTTCACAAAATACAAGGTTTCATTTCTTAATTATGTATCGATTACAAAGTTTTTCTTATTTTCTTAATAATATAGATTAGCAGAAATTTAACAATTTTCGATTTTTGAATCAATAAAAATTATAAGTAAAAAAATATTTTTTAAAAATTACACTTTATGTCAAATTTTTTTCTTGATATTTTTTTAATAAATTTTCTTCAATAAAAAATTTTCAAATATCAGCTAATTTGATTTCCATCAATAAAAAAAAATGAAAGAAGAAATTGATCAACAGTAACCATACCTGAAGTAGTCAATGCCATTTTAATAGGAGCAGTGACTCGTTCAAATAAATCAGCGCATAGCTCTTCGAGTTTTTCTCTAGTAACATGAATCTTCATGTCCTGATCATCAAGCAAGCTTTCAACTTGAGCAAAATGATCAGCATTCGCACTCAAGATATTCTTAACCCGCCCAGCCTCTTTAAAAAGCTTAGCCATCGAACGTGGATTATTGAAAACGGAATTCTCCGTCTTCTTCAGTTTATCAAATTCGGTAGCCAAATAATTTTGTAATCTAACTTGTACTTCCAAGCCACCAAGTGTCCTGTCGTACCCAACGCCAAAAACACTCACCTGTGGGCTCGTCTCAACAAACCCGCGGTCTTTCGTTTTAACATTCTGGTAACTGACAATCGTAGCAGTCGTCGAGCTGGCGCCCATGTCATAAAACATAATGTAGTGCGCGGTATCATTGATCTCCTTGCGATGGAAGATACCGTAGTTGAGCGCGACAGCCGTGTAATCATTAATCAGCTGTAGCACTTTAATACCAGCTAAATCTGCGGCTTGCATCATTGCCTTTCTTTCAGCCTGGTTAAAATATCCAGGCACAGTAATAACAGTCTCGGTTATTTTTTGACCAGCCGAGTTTTCAGCAAACTCTTTCGACTTTATCAAAATTTGCGCTAAAAGCAATTCTGGAGTATACAGTGTACCGTCGTTGAACTTGAACGCAATCGTGTTACGTTCTTCGTCAGCGACAATCTCATAATAAGGGAACCTTTTTTTGAATAATTGAACTATTGGGTTGTCTATTGACTTTCCCAGCAAGTCCACGAGGTACTGGAAATTTTTAGTGGGGTACTTAGCAGCAACTATTTGAGCATCTTCGCCAAATACTCTCTCGTCTTCGCGAAATGCAATCATTGTAGCTGTTTTTCTTTTGGATTCTTTATTCAGCGCTATTTCCATCGGAACTCCCGGCTGATTTTTAATAAAAATAATAAATAAATTAAATTTTTAAAATAAATTAAAACTTACAGTAAAGTTAGCAGTCATTATAGAATTTTTTAATTTTTTTAACAAGCAAATTTGTGTAATACTGAAATTAGCCGACATTTTTTATTTTTTTTTTTAATAATTAAATTAAAACAAAATATTTTTTAAAAATTGCACTTATAGTTTTTCAAGTTTCTCACAAGTGAAAATTTTTTTTATAGTAATTTTTTCAATAAAAAAAAAAGTTCTAAAAATTTTTAGATGTCGGTTAACTTAATTTTCATATTTTTTTTTTATTTTTTTGTAATCATTTTTTTAATGAAAAAAAATCTTAAAAATTTTTGAATGTTGGCTAACTTAATTTTCATAAATTTGTACCAAAAAATAATTAAAAAAAAATTGTATTTTTCATTTTTTTAAATTTCTACATGCCAATTTTTTTTTTTTTTGTTATAATTTATTTGTTAAAAAAAATTCTAAAAATTATTTAATATCTTCTAAATTTATTTTCATATTAAAACTTCTAGAATCTTTAATAAAAAACTAATACTTACAGAAACATAGGCTACTTTCATCCATTCACTGCCCAAGTCGACGCTCATAACAGCAACAGAATTAACATCTTCAACGTAGAATGACAATGCCACCAGCAAAGTCGCCAATAATCCCGTTAATATTGACTTCATTTTTTATTTATTATATTTTTCTATGGTTTACAAAGTCATTAAAAAATATTTTATGGAAAACTTAATTAGATTGACAGCTGACGTCTATTTTGACAAAAGCTTTACTCGCTTTCTGGCAATTGCAGTAAGTACGTTTTAAATTAGGAGTAATAAATATTGTGGTTGTTAAAATTTTTTAGATTATATATTTGTTAATTTTTTACCTGGAGAAATGTCACGAATAATTACACGTGGCTACCAGTCACAATCCATCAATCGTTATTACAATGTTACAACTAAATAGACCAAGCTGTCGTGAATGTACCGGCAACAATGGGTTATCTTTCGGTTATTCTCCCGTGTGTCAATTTTTCATTGGCTGATACGATTCCAAACACTGGGTATTATTGGTCCGCGTAGTCAAATTGGAGCCAACAGATCAAATGTATTCACTCACATATATTTATGTGTGTATTATATGTATTTATCAAAAGTCCAATATCATTCTGGAGCTTCTGAAGATTAACGCAAGATGGCGGTAAATTTAAATTTTAACTCAGCTGGAAATAATAATACTGAAGTTAGCCGTCAGCTGTTAATTTTAAATATTTTTTTAACAAATCAATAAAAAAATTATTCTAAAAATTATCACTTGTTATTTTTATTAATTTTCACATGTGCAATTTTTTAATTAAATTGTTTTTATATTAATTTAATTGTTATAAAATTCTAAAAAAATTTCTAATGTCAACTTCATATTGTTTTTTTTCTATTGTCAAATTTTGTATTGTTTTTTTTTTTATTATAATTCGGTAATGTAAATAAATAAGTTTTTAAATTGACAGGTAAGAATTTTTAATTAAACCATTTTATTTTTTTTTATTATTTTAATTTTTTGTTTTAAACAAATTTATTTATTTTTAATTTACTAGAAAAACAGTTATTTTTTTTGTAATATAATTTGATAATGTAAATAGATCATTTTTCAAAGAAGAATTTTTATTTGAGTAAAAAAAAAATGATATTAATTATTTTCTATGATTTTTAAAAATTTTTCAGATGAAATGAATTAAAAAAAACTAGCTAATTTAAAATTCTACATATATGTAAATAATTTTGATATCTTATCATAATTAATGATATAAAAACAAGTCCAACGTGACCTCACAAATGTATATTTCGTCATATGTATGGAATATTTACCCGATACTTGGAGAAATCATCGATATTACGTATTACATAAAACAATACATTTTTATTATAAAATAAGTTTATTAATTAGTTATGTATCATTTGAATAAAATTTTTTACCAAAGGTAAGATTTCTTCCTCCACTAAAATTTAACTTTTATAATTAATATTAATATACTTTTTATTTCAGAAAACCAATATTTTTGCAAACATGTGCGTTTTCTGGGTCTGGAGTTCTCAGTACTGCTATCGAAAAAGTATTTATTAAGAATTAAAAATTATTTTTATACTAAAATAAATCACAGTAAAAATTATGATACTGAAATTGAGAGACATCTGATAATTTTTCGAATTTTTTTAACAAACAAATTATAGCAAAAAACTTTTATTTTAAAAACTTCATTTTTAAAAGCTCCGAAAAATTATAAATGAGATTTTTATAAATAGTTTTCTATGCCTAGTTTATTTTTAAAGAAGAATCAAAAAATTGTCAAGTGTCTGCTAACTTTAGTCTCATTAAAAATTAATAAAATTTTCACATGACATTAAGGGCCAGTTTTTCAATCCAGGATAAAATTTTATCCAATGATAAAATATATCTATATATTTCATATATATAAATATACTGGCAATAATAATTTTATCCTTGATAAAATTTTATCTTGGATTGAAAAACTGGCCCTAAAGTTATCAGTCACTTGATAATTTTTTTTAACAAGCAAATTTGTTCGAAAAAATTGCATTTTTAATTTTTTTAAATTTCTACATATTAATTTTTTTTTTTCCATTAATTTATTTCTTAAAAAAATTCTAAAATTTATTAAAAATCTGCTACTTTAATTTTCATTATTTTTATACGACTTCAGGTATTGATAGCGAATCGCGGAGAAATAGCCTGTCGAGTTATGAAAACAGCAAAAAAATTAGGAGTAAAAACAGTAGCTGTTTACAGCGACGCTGATCGAGACTCAATGCACGCGGATCTAGCAGATGAAGCTTATTACATCGGTCCATCAGCATCGAGCGAGAGTTACTTGAGACAGGATAAAATAATAACAGTAGCAAAAAAAACTAAATGCACTGCCATTCATCCTGGGTATGGTTTCCTGTCAGAGAATATGGAGTTCGCGCAGCTTTGCCAGAGAGAGAAGATAATATTCATTGGACCCCCAGCAAATGCCATCAGAGATATGGGAATTAAAAGTACTTCCAAGGAAATAATGAGCAAAGCTGGAGTTCCTATAATTGCGGGTTATCACTCGAGCGATCAAAGCAACGAAGTTCTCTTAACGGAGGCGAAAAAAATAGGTTTTCCTGTTATGATAAAGGCCATTCGTGGAGGTGGAGGTAAAGGAATGAGAATTGCGCAGGATGAGAAAACTTTTTTCGAAGCTCTAGAGTCAGCTCGTACTGAAGCTCTCAAGTCTTTTGGTGACTCTGACGTTCTTTTGGAAAAATATGTCGTTGATCCGCGACATGTTGAAGTCCAAGTGTTTGCTGACACTCACGGAAACGCTGTTTATTTATTTGAGCGAGACTGTTCCGTCCAGAGAAGACATCAGAAAATAATTGAAGAAGCTCCTGCTGTAATAATATTTATTAAATGATTAATAAGCATTTAAATGATTTTATTAATGAGAATTATTATTATTTTCAGCCAGGTTTGTCGGAAAAAACTCGTACTGAGATTGGAGAAGCTGCTGTACGAGCTGCTAAAGCGGTGGGATATGTTGGTGCTGGTACGGTTGAATTTATAATGGACCAGAATGATCACAGTTTTTATTTTATGGAGATGAATACACGGTTACAAGTCGAACATCCAGTTACTGAAGCCATCACAGGCTTGGATCTTGTTGAGTGGCAATTAAAAGTTGCTGCTGGCGAAAAACTTCCACTTGCGCAACAAGATATTACCATGAAAGGTCACGCGTTCGAAGCGAGAATTTATGCAGAAGTATGATATATTTTACTTAATACTTTAGAATAACTGGAGTGTAATAATAATAAGTCTTGTACTTAAAAATAATTAATAATTATTGTAAGTTTGTTTGGTACTTTTAGGACCCTCGCGGTGGATTTTTACCCCAGGCAGGACCATTGTTGTACTTGAATCCACCAGAAACTGCTCCGAATGTCAGAGTTGAGACCGGAGTTCGACAAGGAGATGAAGTTTCTGTTTATTATGATCCGATGATTGCTAAATTAGTTGTCTGGGGAAATAATCGTGGTGAAGCGCTGAGAATTATGAAGTCTAAATTAGCAGACTACAGTGTACTTTCATTACATTAGTTACTTATAATTAGTCATTTTTTTTTTGGTAATTATTTACAAGTGTTTTCATTTTTTTGAACGAAATTTCTATTTAATTTTATTGATATATTTTTTTTTTGAAAAATACATAAAAAATTAAGAATTTAAAAGAAAAAAAAATTGATTATCACAATTTTAACAGATTTTCAAATTAATTTATAAATTTTTTAGAAAATTATAGTATTCAACTTTGTTTTCTTAAATTGTTCGTTTTTTTTATTTACTTTTAAAAAGATATATATCAAGAAAAGATAAAATAGAAATTTTATCCAAAATTTTTTCCAACTTTTGAAGACAAAAAATTAATCGAAATCTTTTTTTTTCCTTTCACGATATTTTTTATCATAAAAATGCACCATAAAAACAAGCAAAATAAAAAAAAATTAATTTTTCACTTAGATACGGCCAAAAGTAGGGTGTAAACAATTACCATTTGTTTCAAATTACGAAATTTTCATATTAGGCCATTGAATTAATTAAAAAAAGAAGGAATTTTTGCTTACAGATTGTTGGGGTAGAAACCAACATAGAATTTCTAAAAGACTTGTGTATTCATCCTAAATTTAAAGCTGGTGTAGTGCACACAGGTTTTATAGAGCAATGCAAGGATACATTATTCCCAGAGCTGCAAGTTCCCAGCAGTATATTATGCCAAGCAGCGTTGGCCGCAATACTATACGAAGATTTAGCTTGTTTAAAAACAGCAGTGAATTGTAAAAATCCCTGGAGTCCGTTCAATACAGAGTTGGGGTATCGCGTAAACCACCCACTCGCTAAACAATTTAACTTTATATTTAATGACCAAAAGTTAATGGTCGATGTTAAATATACTGAACCAGAAGTCTATTCAATGCAAGTTAATGGTATTGGTCCTTGGAGAAAGGTCATAGGTACTCTTACTCAGGAAGATAATGTGCTTGAATTAAAATCCGAGGTTCAAGATACTAAAATGAAGACGAGAATCGTTAAAATTAATGATCAACTCTATCTATTCACTAATGTAATTTACACGATTTTTATATTCGCCCATTAAATTTTAACGGGTCATTTGTTAATCATTTTTATTTATCCTTTAGGATCGAGCTTGGAAATTAAACTTACCTCAGCCAGAATTTTTATCCAAGCTAAATAAAAAGTCAGACTTGAGTGGTGCAGCAGTAAGTCCAATTCCGGGAGTTGTAGATAAAATTCTGGTGTCTCCTAATGATGTTGTTAAGAAAGGAGACGCGTTGCTCATTATTGTCGCAATGAAAATGGAGGTTTGTGATTCATTATTAAAATATCTAATAAAATAACTTTTTAACTATTAACTAATTAATTTAATTATTCAGCACTCGATTCGAGCATCTGCTGACGGAATAATCGAAGAAATTCTTTGTGGAGTAGGTGATACCGTTGCGAAAGATCGCTTGCTCGTTAAAATCACCGAGCAAACTCAATAAATTTCCCATTTATGTACGAAAGTATTTGATATTTATTTTTATAAAAATATAAACTTTATATAACATTAAGCTCTTTTCCTATTTCAACGAAAGCATTTACCGTACGATCAATATCCTCTGGAGTGTGTACTGCGCTTAGCTGTACTCTAATCCTCGCTTTACCCTTCGGTACCACCGGATAGCTGAATCCTATCACATAAATTCCTCTTTCAAGCATTTTATCAGCAAATGTAGAGGCTAATTTCGCGTCACCCAGCATCACTGGAGCTATGGGATGGTTATCGCCGTTTATTGTAAATCCAGCTGATTTCATTGCCTTTCGAAAGCGCTGAGTATTTTCTTCGACACGAGACATCAACGAAGGATTATTCATCACCAAATCCAACGCCTAAATTTTTTATTTATTTTTATTATTATAATAGAATAAATCTTAGTTAAAATTTAAGTACCTTAATTCCAATTGCAGCTACTGGTGGAGGTAAGGCATTTGAAAATAAGTAAGGCCTACTACGTTGTCTCAATAAATCAATTAATTTTTTTGATCCAGTAGTATACCCGCCAGCAGCTCCTCCCAGTGCTTTTCCTAGGGTTGAATTAATTATGTCAACTTTTCCAAGTAAATTGAAGTATTCTTCAGTTCCTCTAAAAAATAATAAGTTTAATTAAGTTTAGTTTGTTAAAATATTTTTAACTAACAAATTTTGCTTTATTAAATAATGGCTTTTGTTAAATTGCACTGTACTTTCTTAAATATTGACATTTTTAAAGATATAAGCTCATCCCGATGTTACACTCATCAAGAGCTTTCATTTGAGTACCCACATGCATTTTTGATATATTTTTCATATATACATATATATATATATAACATATATAAATATTATATATGAAAAATTGATGTGGGTACTCAAATGAAAGGTCTTGATGAGTGTAACATCGGGGTGAGCTTATATTTTAAAAAATGTCAATAGTTCTCCAGATACAAGGTCATATCTTAATTAGGTATCTAAAGATAGAGAATCTTCGAGTGCAGCCTAAAAATACTTATAATATTTTATTTTTTAATACCTTCCAGTCTTGCCGATAAATCCAGTAGCATGGCAATCATCAACAAAGGTAATAGCATCGTACTTATTCGCTAAATTAATTATTTCAGGCAACGGAGCAAAATTACCATCCATTGAGAAAACACCATCTGTAACGATAAGCCTCAAACGAGCTGACTGAGTTTCCTGAAGTTTAGCTTCCAAGTCAACAAGATTTCTATGCTGGTACCGGAATTTCTGTGCTTTGCACAATCTAATTCCATCGATTATTGAAGCGTGATTCAACTCGTCGCTTATTACAGCATCCTCGGGCTTCAGTAGAATCTCAAAAAGACCCGCGTTCGCGTCGAAACACGAGGCATAAGCAATAGCGTCTTCTCTACCATGAAACTCAGCAATCTTAGCCTCTAATTGCCGATGTATATCTTGGGTTCCACAAATGAATCTTACTGAGCTTAATCCCGCTCCGTATTTATCTAAAGCTTCTTTTGCCGCAGTAATCAGCTCTTGATTGTCCTAGTTTCAATACAATTATAATTAATAAATTAAAGCTACAGGGAGAAAAAAAATTTTCCGTATAAAAAAAATTTGTCGACGTCACCAATTTTGATATAAAAATTCTATCTATTTTTAGCTTAATTAAATTAAATTACCGACAGTCCTAAATAATTATTAGCACAAAAGTTTAAAACTTTATGCCCAGTATTTAATTCAATATTTGTCCTTTGGGACGAAACGATAATTCGTTCATTTTTCCAAGTTCCAGCATTTCTTATTTCCGTTAATTCTGGCTGGAGTACTTCTGGGTACGCGCTATACGCTCTAAAATTTATTTTAGCTATTTTTTTGGACAAAATCCCACAATCTGTAAGTTTAAAATTTATGACACTAAAGTTTACAGATATTAAAATTTTTTTTAGAATTTTATAATAATTAAATTACTATGTCAAAAAAATTTAATTAAAAAATTCCACATGAAAATATTAATAAAAATTGTAAGTGAAAATTTTTAGAAGCATTTTTTGTAAGGTAGAAGTAGCGTTTTTGGCCAGTTAACATTTGAATTAATTTATAAAAAATTATTTTTGTTGAGTTTTAAGAAGTTTATATTAAAACAAATTGAGTTTATTAATATAAATTCATTTCTATGGTTTATTTGAATAATAAATGGCCATAAACGGTACTTCTACCCAAATTGATTTGTTAAAAAAATATTTAAAATTGACAGCTGACGGCTACCTTGAGTTATCATTAAAATTTGACAAATTTTATAAATTACAAGCATAAGTATTATTAAACAATAAAATAAAAAATATTAAAAACTTACAGGTAATTCGTGATGAATACATTTTTTGTCTACTTTATATCTTTATAAAATCAATACTAGTTTGGATATAAGGCCAAGATCCTTAAACTATAGATCAATAAACAGGTTTTCATGATCTAGCTACAACTAGTTGACCTTGAGGAGAGTAAAAAAAATCTTATTGAATTTTTATCCTTAAACAAGCGGTAATATAATAATAAATACATATATAAAAAGTTTGCTTCGTAGGTAAGGACGAAGAGAGCATGATATATAATAATATAATATAATATAATAAATATATAGAATGCAAAATGTAGATAATAAAAGGGGCTAAAAGTAGTCTCCATTGACTAATAATAATAATAATAATAATAATAAAATTCAGGTAGATGGAATTCTATTTCTACTATGTGCTGTAGTACTGTAGTGCTCCTATACAATACATTAAAAGTTCAAAAACATTTTAAAGGATTCCCGTGGGGTTTTTTGACAATGCTACCTGAGTCCCAAATGGATCCGTCGTAAACGACAATTGCACTTTGTGCATTCAACAATTTCTTTTCTTCTTTTTTTTTTATATTTTATTATAGTTTCTTGCGATCTTTCTATTCATCGACTGACAATTGATCGAGCAGCATTATATTGAATGAAGAAAAAATTCTTGAAGTTAATATAAGCAAATTCTGTCGCATGAAAGGGCGTTTGCCACCCACCTTACTATTATATCGATTACTAGGGCGAAAAAATGCTGCGCGCACTCGCAGAAGCATCTTCATCGCTCTGATTCCTCTCTGTTATCATCTCGTTGTCAACACAACTCTTTATTCTCATAGAGTCCGATAGTTTTTTCATACAAACTCTAATCAAAAAACAGTTTTTTATGGATTATGAATTTTAATAACATTTACATAGTTTTACTCAGCTTTTTACCGTTTATTAATGCAAGTGGTAAGTTTCTTCTTTAAAGTTAAACTTTAATTTATATTCTTCATTGGTGTTTTTTTATTCCATCGAATTATTGAATCGCCGTGCTCTTTATTTTTCTTCTGACATTTTTTTTTAAACTAAAATTATTAGCCATTTTTATATTTTAAAAAAAATTCATTGATGTTAATTGTTTAATACAGTGTAAATTAATTTTAAAAATAAAATTGAGTTCTTTCAGGAATATTGCTAGGACCCAAAGTTTATGAAGCAAATCCAGATGCCAAAAGACTGTATGATGATTTATTGTCAAATTACAATCGGCTTATACGGCCTGTTGTCAACAATACAGAAACTCTTACTGTTTGGTTGGGGTTGAAATTGTCACAATTAATAGAAATGAATTTAAAAAATCAAGTTATGACTACTAATGTATGGGTAGAACAAGTATGTATTTATTATTATTTCTTCTTCTTCTTAAATATTTTAATTATTTAAATAGAATTTGATGATACTAATTTAATAATTTTTTGAATCAATAAAAATTCCAAGTAAAAAAATATTTTTTTAATTTTTTTCAATAAAAAAAATTATTAAAAATTTCCTATCTCGGCTAAATTAATTTTTATATAGAACTGTCATTATTATTATAAACATTTTTTATTTTTAAGACAGAATTTTATGACTAAAATTAGCTGAGATTTGACAATTCGTTGATTTTTTCTTGAAAAATAAACCAGTTTTTTTAAATAATTTTTTTTTTTACATAATTTATTTGTTAAAAAAAAAAAAAAATTATAAAATGTCTCTTCTCAATATTAATTTATAAAAATTAATTCAGCAGATAAATATTTGATTATTCTAAAAATTTTTGTAACAATTAAATTATGGCAAAAAAATGAAAAAACAAAAATTGACTTGTAGAAATTATAAAAAATTAAAAGTGTAATTTTTTAAAAATAATTTTATTTATTAAATTTGTGACTGCTAAATTTAATGTCATTAATATTTTTAATTTTCTAAAACAAATTCTTCTTTATTTACAGAAATGGTTTGATTATAAATTACAATGGGATCCAATGGAATACGGTGGAGTTGAAATGCTTTATGTCCCTTCAGAAAATATTTGGTTACCAGATATAGTTTTATACAATAAGTAAGTAACTAATTTAACAAAAACATACAAATAAATAATTATATTGAATTAACTAGTGCTGATGGAAATTATGAAGTAACATTAATGACCAAAGCAACATTAAAATATAATGGTGAAGTCTACTGGAAGCCTCCAGCAATTTACAAATCATCATGTGAAATAAACGTTGAATATTTTCCATTTGATGAACAATCTTGTCTGATGAAATTTGGCTCCTGGACTTACAATGGTGCTCAGGTAGATTTAATCAAACAATTTTTTTTTTTTTGCATTTAATTCATCATCCTGAAATTGAGAGACATCTGATGATCTATAGAAATTTTTTAAGCAATAAATTATAGCAAAAGTTTTCTTGATTTTAATATTATTTAAATTTGTAGGTGGATTTGAAACATATGCAACAGCAACCAGGTAGTAATTTAGTAGCAACGGGTATCGACTTAAACGAATTTTACCTCTCAGTCGAGTGGGATATTCTTGAAGTACCAGCTTCACGTAATGAAGAATATTACCCTTGTTGTGTCGAGCCGTACTCAGATATTACATTTAATATAACAATGCGCAGAAAAACACTTTTTTATACAGTTAATCTTATAATACCGTGTGTGGGAATTACCTTTTTAACAGTTTTGGTATTTTATCTACCAAGCGATTCTGGAGAAAAGGTAAAATTAAAAAAAATATTTATTTATTTTATAATTAAATAATTTTAAAAATTATTATTAGTATTACAGTAATTATTATTACAGGTCTCATTGTGTTCATCAATTTTGCTGTCATTGACAGTGTTCTTCCTCTTATTAGCAGAAATAATTCCGCCAACATCACTAGCCATTCCGTTACTCGGAAAATATTTATTATTTACCATGATATTAGTGACACTGTCAATTTGGATCACTGTCGTCGTATTAAACGTTCATTTTCGGTAATTATTTTAAATTAATTATCAAAAATATTTTGATAAACAATTGAAATTTTTTAAAGATCACCAACGACTCATAAAATGTCCAAATGGGTAAGAAAATTATTTCTCCATTGGATGCCACGACTCTTGATGATGCGACGAACTCCTTACGCTACTCCAGAGTATACTGACATGTATATAGAGACTGGATACTCAAATGATTATGATTACAGGTTTAATATTAATTACTATTCATAATTTATAATAAAAATTTTTTTTTTTTTAATTATTAAAAATTACAATTTTAGTTACGGAGATAACGAAAGCGAATACACGACAGACATGAAAGAAAATCCAGATGAAATGGACAGAGTTACGCTGGGTTACAAGAATATGGAAGACGAAGATGGACATCCTCATGGCTCTAGCCATGACAGTGATAATATCCTGCTCAAACATGTATCTCCTGACGTAATGTCTGCGCTAAAAGGCGTACGATTTATAGCACAACATATTAAAGATGCTGACAAAGACAACGAAGTAAGCTGATGAATAGCTTAATTTTTTATTGAAAAAATTTCAATTAAACAATTAAAAAAAAAATATCACGTGTTAAAAACTTGAAAAACTATAAGTGCAATTTTTTATAAATATCTTCTTAGTTGTAATTTAATTAAAAAAAAAAAATCAAAAATTTTTAGACGTCTGCTAACTTCAGTGATAATTTTTTTTTTTTTTCGTAAATTAAATTTATAAAAATAAACTAAAATTATAATTAAATTAATCTATTTATTAATAGGTAATTGAAGATTGGAAGTACGTTGCAATGGTACTAGACAGATTTTTCCTGTGGGTGTTCACGATCGCATGCACAGGTGGAACAGCTGGAATAATATTACAAGCTCCAAGTCTCTACGACACGCGAGTCGCACTAGATCAAAATCGATCTCCGGGAATTCCTATGCGCCAGGGTAAAGACATGCGAACTGTTGGTATTGGAGAGATCGACAGTATTTTGAATAAACAATAATTAATTTAAAAGATAAATATGCTCACTTAATATTAATTACAAATTAATAATTACTTATAACTGTAAAAGAAATAAATTATAAAAATTAATAAATGAAAAAGTTTTCAATATTTTTTTTTGTCATTTTTAAAATTTTTTTTTTAAAGTTTTTATTTTTTTAATTATAGTATTTTACTGTTTTAAAACAGTACATGGAAAAATTTTTTCAGAAATTTACTTGTCTTCAGGTTTGTTGAACACCAGTGTGTAACCGCATTTTCCACAGTAATGACGGTCTTCCATGGCAGCCATGAAAACACCAGCACCGCATTGCTCAGACGGACACTCACGTCTCAGACGATGGATTTTTCCATTCTCGTCAACCTGCAGATAATTAGATCAAATAATTATTAATTACTTATTCAAGAAAAATTTTTCAAATCATCAAAAAAAAATTATTAACCTTGTAGAACTTGAGGACAGCGAGCTTGACCTTCTTCTTCTTGTGCTTGATTTTTTTGGGGGTGGAGTAATTCTTCTTCTTGCGTTTCTTGGCTCCACCACGAAGTCTCAACACCAGATGTAATGTTGACTCCTTCTGGATGTTGTAGTCGGACAAGGTTCTTCCATCCTCCAACTGCTTACCAGCGAAGATCAATCTTTGCTGATCTGGTGGGATTCCTAATGAAACAATCAATTATTTGTATTATTAAGAGAATAAGCGAAATTTTATGGCCAGTGTATTTATATGATATGTATTTAGGTTGCATTCGAAAATACTCCATCTCCAGATACATAATTAAGAACTGACCTTGTATCTTGTCAACTATTGACATTTTCAAAGATATAAGCTCATCCCGACATTACACTCATCGATACCTTTCATTTGAGTACCCACATCAATTTTTCATATATTTATATATATTATATATATATGTATATATGAAAAATATATCAAAAATGCATGTGGGTACTCAAATGAAAGCTCTTGATGAGTGTAACATCGGGATGAGCTTATATCTTTAAAAATGTCAATAGTTAAGAAAGTACAGTGCAGTTTAACTAAAGCCATTATTTAATAAAACAAAATTTTATCTATTTGTAGACTTCAAATTGATTTCAAAATAATTAAAAAAAATATATATAGTTACCCTCTTTATCTTGGATCTTGGCCTTGACATTTTCGATAGTGTCAGACGCTTCAACCTCAAGGGTGATGGTCTTTCCTGTGAGTGTCTTTACAAAAATCTGCATTTTGGCTCCCTAGACTTACGCCTGAAAAATAAATAAAAAAATAAATTAATAATTGCAAAAAGACAACATAAATAATTGAAAGGAAGGTTTAATATTAAACTAAAGCTATGAAAAGAATTAACAAAATAACCTAAAGAAATATTTTATTTATTGATCGATATCAAAGATTGAAAACGAGTACAATTAATAAATTACAAAACATTTAAACTAGTAAAACAGCATTAATACATCCATCGTTTTCCGGGTTGTTTGTAACTTGCGCATACTTTCCCCAGACGACTTTACCAGTCTGGGTGACCAATCCAAGCTCTGAAATATTGACTTCGATGATTGTTCCCTTGGTAATGACACCGAGTGTCGTGTACATAACAGAACTGGGGTTCCTCTTGACGCCGATGATCGGTAAATGGAAAGTAGCCTTTAATTCTGGATGCGTGACATGAGCTTTGCGGAACCTGAGTGCCATGGGTCTGATGAATCTCTCAAACTTGGGTGGCTTTCTGGTGAAATTTTCTCCAACATAAGTGACCTTGGTCACCATTCTCTTCCAAGCCTTTCTACGGGTTTTTCCACTCTTGACGATTTTGAAAACTTCTGACTCAGATTGAGCTTTGACTTTTGGTATGGGTACGTCCCACTTGCCAGCTTTTTCCTTTCGCTTTTGTTTTATCATATTAGACAGAACTTTGGAGCGCTGTTGGACATCACGGTCCAAAAGATATACGGGCAAGGCTCCCTCAGGAGCATTTTCAGATTGCTCTTTAACTTTCTTCTCTTCATGCGCCTTGATCTTCTTCTTCATCTGTATCTTCTCATTGCGACGTTCCTTGTTGAAGATCTTGGCCTTGATACCACGAAGTGTTCGCGCTCTTTCAGCCCGCTTGTGCGGCTCACGAGCTTCTCGCTTGCGTTTACGCTCTTCATAATCCAATCTCCTACCATACAACTTCTGATGTCTCTCTACGTACTCGTTCTGCGGCATTTTGTCTTGTAATTAAAATCTGAAAATTAAAAATTGTCAAAAAAATTGCACTTTAAAAATAATAATAAAGTTAGCCGACATTTTTAATTTTTTAATAATTAAATTATAACAAAAAAATATTTTTGAAAAATTGCACTTACAATTTTTAAAGTTTTTGAAAAATGTAAATTTTTTTCTATTTTTTTGTGGTCATTTTTTCAATAAAAAAAATTTTTAAATGTCGGCTAACTTAATTTTTGTCTTTATAAAATGACACTGAAGTTAGCAGACATCTAAAAATTTTTTTTATTAATTAAATTACAACTAAAAAAATATTTCTAAAAAATTGCAATTATAGTTTTTCAAGTTTTTTACATGTGAAATTTTTTTTTAATTGTTTAATTAAAATTTTTACAATACTAAAGTTAGCCGACGTTTTTAATTTTTTGATTATTTGTCATTTACTAAATTAGAACTAAAAAATATTTTTAAAAAATTGCACTTATAGTTTTTCAAGTTTTTTACCAGTGAAATTTTTTTTTTATGATTTTTTCAATAAAAAAATTTTTAAATGTCAGCTAACTTAATTTTCATGAAATTTTTTCAATAAAAAATTTCTAAAAATTTTGAAATGTTAGCTAACTTCATTTTCATACTTTAAAATGGTTAAATTATATTTTATTTAATTTTTTTTTTACTAAGTCAACTTACCTCATTCATTCACGTAATGCTCGTACTATTTTCTATTCCAATTCCAACAATAAAAGCACCACTGATTTATTTTTATTTAATTTACTATTATTTAAAAATATATTTTATTATTTAGATAAAATATCAAAATAATTTAAATTTTAAATCGCGCGTCCTCAGTCATTGAATGACGTAAGTTAACTTTGCGATGATTAACTACAACTAATAGCCAGACAATAAAGTAGCCGCTGGTTAGAAAATCTAACCTAAAAATGTACATGCAAAAATAAAATTATTTTGACCTCAATAATTGACATCCATTATCAAAATCGATAAAAATAAATTAAAATAATAAAAATATTTACTTTAATTAGCTTAAATAAAAGTTTTAACTAATAAATTAATAAAATAAAGTCGCGTGGATAATGGACGACAACGTGGTGAAATATTGTCAGGTTTTTTCAGGTCATTAAATAAATAATAAAAGGCACCGTAGCACAATTAAAAAATAATTAATGCAACGAGCGAATTTAAAATAAATAAATAACGCAAAATAAGTAATAAAATAAGAAGTAGAGTAATAAATAATAATAAAATATTGTTGTAAAAAATATATACGCACCTAACTTTGGCCGCGAGGAGTTGAAAAAGGTCGATGCGATTCAATAAACTATACACGGTATATAGATAGTATTGCCTATTGCGGGTAGAAAAAAAAGCTTGGTAGTTATTTTTTCCGCCTGAAGGCGGCGCTGCAGTAGCAATTGGAAATCGACTTACCCGCGGTCGCCAATGGGAGCGCGGCTTCTACTAGAAAATTTAAAAACTGTCTAAAAGGAGCCACGGGATTGGCGGAAGCTAAAAAAATATTTTCCCATGGTGGATTCCCCACCTTAACCCAGCAGAAACTGTACGACATCTTTTAACACAAATTCAGACAGTTTGTGACTGGAAGCGCGCCAGTTCACTTCTTAAGTAAGTGTGTAGGATTACGTGATTAAACACATGACCGTGTATGTAAGAGTGTGTGTAAAATAATTACAATTACAATGAAATAAAATGATTGTTTTTCTGGACTCTGTTACTCCATTAGTCAGAAGATAATATTAATATTAATTCTATTTAAGCTTAAGAAGAAATGGTAAAATTGAAGGCGGAGCATGCAGCGGTGGTTATTGTCAAAATATCGTGAGAGCCTACACCATTTTGTTGGTAGATATGCGGAAGCGTCAATTGACTTGGTAGATAAATATTTTACATGAATGAATTGGACGTAATTGGGAGCGTACAAAGGTCTTAGCCAAGTAATGAAAAAGTTTTATAAACCGTACACGATAATAAATAAATATTGTGGATATAGTGAACGCTAGCGGAGTTGCTGCGGATGGTGGTGGTGGGTATAAAGCTCTACCCGCATCGTCTACGACGGTGTGTTTGTTGGGAGGTCTCAAGGAAGAGTGTATAGTCAGTAGACTATACTGGTGTGTATGTATGTGAACTGTACTCACTGATATATTTATACATACAAATATATATATATATGTTATAGTATGTAGATTTAAATATTGTAGAATAAATAGTATGTAATTGTAGAGGAGACATTGGAAGAGAATCACGTGCCGATGGATGAATGATAGAAGGAGATAAGGAAGAAATAAAAGAGCCACCAGACATCCGCACCAAAAAATAATATAAATAATAATAAGGGGATTGATTATGGTGAGAAGTGGTAAAAAAAGGTCGTTGAGTGTGTGAGTGGTCAACGGCGCAATATGGAGGAGAGTCAGCTGTTGATGACCGAACTACCAGCGTTAACAACAGGAGGAACGCGTGGTACTTTGCTCCACAGGTCTGGGCAAATTTATCACCTGTACCAGCCCCACCTGACACTGACGACACCCCAGCATCAGTCACGGCAAAATTCCGTGAGTATACACAGCTACATGAATGGCGGGGGTGCTACCAATTTGACCAAATACAAGCACGGGAGTGTCGTGAGACGGAAAACTCTGGAGGAAAGGAGTGAAGACGCCGCGCCCACAAGCACTCACATCTCCTGTCTTTACCCGGAAATATTGGCTCTGATATTCAGCTACTTGAATGTCAGGGATAAAGGCCGGTCGGCTCAGGTCTGTGTGGCTTGGAGAGATGCTGCATACCACCGCTCGGTCTGGAGAGGGGTTGAGGCTAGGTTGCACCTGAGGAAACCCTCCCCGGTGGTTTTTGCGAGCTTGGTCAGACGGGGAGTCAAGAAGGTCCAAATATTGTCGCTAAAAAGGGGCCTGGGAGATGTTATCAAGTGCATACCCAATCTGGAGTCGCTGAACCTCTCGGGCTGCTACAATGTCACTGACCAGGGGTTGAACAATGCCATCTCGGACACCGTTACCTCGTTGACCAGGCTGGACTTGTCGCTGTGCAAGCAAGTGAGCGACCAGGCGCTCCAAAAGATATCTCAGAAAATACCAAATTTAGAATGCCTGGAACTCGGCGGGTGCTGCAACATCACCAACCACGGGCTGATGCTCATCGCCTGGGGACTTAAGAAACTCAAGTATCTCGACCTGAGGAGCTGCTGGCATGTCTCCGACCAGGGACTCTCCTACTTGGCGGGGTTCAACTCCAATGAAGCTACTCTGGGTAGCAGTTTGATGTTGGAGTACCTCGGGCTGCAGGACTGTCAGAGGCTGAGTGATGAAGGACTCAGGCACTTGTCTACGGGAATAGTCACCCTCAAGTCGATAAACCTGTCGTTCTGCGTCTCGATCACCGACTCGGGGCTCAAGCACCTCGCGAAGATGACCAGTCTCAGGGATCTTAATCTTAGGTCCTGCGACAACATCTCCGATATTGGTATGGCGTATTTAGCAGAAGGTGGCAGCAGGATTTCCTCGCTGGACGTCTCCTTCTGCGACAAGATCGGCGACCAAGCGCTGGTTTATATCTCACAGGGTCTGTTCAATCTTAAGTTACTGTCCATGTCCGCTTGTTCTGTGAGTGACGAGGGGATTTGCAAAATCGCGGAGACTCTTCTTGAGCTGGGCACTCTCAATGTTGGTCAGTGCACCAGAATTACCGACAAGGGAATCTCTGCGGTGTCTAAAAATATGAAAAACCTAACGTGCATTGATTTGTATGGGTGTACTGGTATATCAACAAGTGGATTACAGAAGATTATGAAATTACCACAGATCACTACTATTAATCTGGGATTATGGCACGTAAGGTGATGAGTGCATTAGGTTTTATAGTGTTTATTAAATAATAACTCTCTTTTTTATTAATTATTATTTTAATTGTTTTTTTTTTTTTTACCGGTACATTAAGGTATCGTATACGTTAAAGATTAATTATTAGGGTGGTAAAAACCGACTTTTTTTTTTGTATCGAGTGAAAAAATGCCAGTTTTTTATGTTTTAAGAGCCCTCTTCAAAGAACAGCTCAAAAAAAAATTTTTAAGGGGTCGCTTAAAATTTTTTTAAATCTTAAAAAAATTTTTTTAAGCTGTCCTTTGGAGAAAGCTCTTAAAACATCAAAAACCAACATTTTTTCACTCGAGACTTAGAAAAAAAAAAAAGTAGTCGGTTTTTGCACCACCCTGTTAATTATGATTATTATTATTGCTATAATAATTAATCCTATTACAATTATTAACTAGTAATTAATTATTAAATATAAATAATTAATCGAATTTTTTACACTGGACGAATCAGGCTGAATTAGGAAGATAATTGTTTTAATTTTTTGTTTTAAAACATATTTTTTTTTTCATTATTAATATTATTACTATTATTATTATTCATACTTTTATTATTATTATTATTATTATTATTATTGTGTAACTATTAATTCTTTACGTTCTGTGATGTGAAGAAGTTGTTTTTGTTGCAAGTTTGTCGTATATGGTAATGAAAAAATTCAAGAAAAATTAATTAAAATTAACAATCACATAAGAGTATGAATATATATGTAAATGATAAGAAAAAAAAAAAAAAGTTATTTGTGGTAACTCGAATGTCTTAATTTTGAGGTGTTTTATTTTTCAGATATGATCGATGATGAACAAAAAAAATTGTTGAGTAATTATTGTATTATAGTGTTTGCGAGCGAGGATGTTGAAAATTTTTGTAAACTGATAGCAACAATTAAATTTGAAATCCTGTGGTGTTTATTATTGCCAGAGGATCGGTTGTTACTTAATTGATTTATTATTAATGTATAATTGCATTTGGCCTCTTTTATAGATGAATTTGTACATTTTATTGATTAAGATTTTAATTGAACAAGGCGATTTTAAAAATAAACAAACTCGAGGACTATTTACTGCTTTTGGGCGTCAGACTTTTTATACTATTAAAAAAATGGAAAAAAAAAAAAAAAAAAAAAATACAAAAAGATACGAATGCGTGGGTAAGATGACGAGCTGAAATGAGTAAACGACGATTTTATATTATATATTTATATAAATATAGCTAACATATTAAATTTAATCGTTTCTACCTCGTTTTATAACTGACATGACCGTTATTATTAATGTTTATCATTTATAACTATTATTATTATTATTATTTTCTTTTTTTTATTGAATAAGTTTTTAAAATCGTCAGGTGCGAATGAGTTGTGATAATTTATAAATTTAATCAATTTTATTTCAACCTTTGTAATATAACAATAGGTACTATTTGCGTTTAATTTTCGTTGATAAATTTTTTTGCTCATTTTATTATTATTATTAAAAAAAAAGTAAAAAAAAAATTTTAATAAATACAATAAAATATGTGATAAGTAGGAGTCTCTTAATTTAAAGTTTTGATAGTTTTTATTGTAAAAAAAAAATTAATTTTATTTTAAAATTTCTTTTAGGACTCATGTTAATCGTTATTTTCATTAATTTTTGACGATTTCAATTATTAAATTCGACAATCTTATTGTAATAATGCTCATTGTAATTTTTATAATTGTACAATTGTAGTTTTAAGTATTTTTGGTTTTTTTTTATAAATTATTTTAAAATTTTATTTACACCAGAACAAAATTTTAATCCATCAATAATTTATTTATTTTTATAAATTTATCAATCAAAACTAAATTGAAGAAACAATTTAATCAAAATTCGAGAACTAAATATTTAAGTAATTTTATCTACGAAAGTTTTTTTTTTTTAATCACCAAAAAAACTTGAACTGCAAATCTGCATAGTAAAAGTATATAAAAATTTTTGTGTAATTAACAGATAATACCAATAATGTTGATCTCCCAGTCGTTATTAAATTTTTTGTTCAATAATTAATTATATAACTAAATAATCGACAGTTTGTAAATAAATTATGTGATCTCCAGTTGTTCAGCACATATCGGAGTAAAAAAAAAATACTGGTATAATTTAAGTATATATATTTACTAGATCTTTTTAAGTTTGCGTAATTGAACGACTAAATTAATTAATTGACAAGTTGATTTAATTACGATTGTATTGTTTAAATGACGAATGTATAAATGTATGGAATTTGATACTGATTAATCAGTATATGGTGTGAGTGTTGAGTAATTAATTTTAAGGTATCTTTAATAAAGAAAAATCAAACTAATTGTTAGTTAAGTAGAAGTGGATTAGGATAATACCATAAAAGCAATTTAAATTAAATGAAATGAACCATAATTAATAAGACATGTACAGAAATGATTGGTCGCATTCCCATAGACTTCTATTTTCAATTCAATTGCATTTTTTATAACTAGTTAATGTCATTATCATTATTATTGTTATTGTCATTATTATTATTATTAATGTCTTTATTATTATTATAATTATTATTATTATTACACATGAATATATAATAAATATGCACACGATTGACTTTTTAAAAACACACATGAAGTCTGTGGGTTTAGACCTCGTGTGCAATTAAATATCACTCGTCCTTAAAATTTGTTTATCATAAATTTCATAAAGTTTCAAGTTATTGCCATAATAAGTAGTTAATTAATTTTAATCATGTATTCATTTTGTACCAACAATAATTTTAATCTTTATATATTTAATAATATAACTACGAATAAGTACGTTAAAAAAGTGAATAAAAAAAAAGGGAAGTAATAAAAATTGAAGAAAAGAAAAATAAAACAATACACTTTACCACAAAAAACGTAATATCATCTAGAAAAGTGGCCTTATCGCATTGAAATCAGCACGCATTTATTTATCGATAACAAATAATTCAAATAATAATTGTAATAATAAAAAAAAAATATTCGGGCGAGCAATAATTGTTTATAAAAAAGGAAGTTTATTGTTTTTCGTTTAGCTGCTTGAACGATTGCCGAAAAAAAATTGTAATTAAATTTAAAAACGAACGACATATTAAATAATAATGATAATGATAATTTTAATTGTAATGGTGGTAATTATTACTGTTATTATTAAATGACAAAATAACAAACGAATCGTTAGGAAAATCGCCTTCATTGTACCGCTCGTTTGATATATTTAATAAAATATAAAATTGATTCAGGACAACACACACACACACACAGAGACACACACACACTTGTATGTACATGTGAGAAACATAAACGATCAATAATAATATTATTATGATGATGATATGAGCGGAATTGTATCGAGTGCATCATCAAAAAATGCATTAAAAATCAATCGTGTAATATTTTTTGTGTACAATTTCTTGTTGAAATATATTATTTTTATAAAAGACTATTTATTATCTTAGTTCATTTAATATTTATCACAAGTACCTTTTCTTCTTTTAATATTTAATTTTTTTCCATCAATTTATTATTAAAAAAAATTTTTTTTTAATATTTTAATAAAGAAGAAATAATTAATTTTTTTGTTTAAATAAATTATGCAATTATTGATAATTAAATAAGAATATTTTTAAATGCAATTTAATATAATACTGAAGCCGTCAGCTGTTCATTTTAAGAATTTTTTTAACAAATCAATTACAATAAAAAAATAGTTTTAAAAATTTTCATATGTGGAATTTTTTAATAAAATTTTTTTTTATTAATTTAATTGCTATAAAATTCTAAAAAAAATTTCTAATGACTGTCAACTTCAGTGTCATAATTTAATAAGTATTTTAAAAAAGTCTTACCTTGGTTAAAAATATTTTAACAAAGAAGAAATAAATAATTTATTTTTTTGTTTAAATAAATTATGCAATTGTTGATAATTAAATAAGAATATTTTCTTCTTTCAATATTTAATTTTTACCCATTAATTTATTATAAAAAAAATTTTTTTTTAATATTTTAACAAAGAAGAAATAAATAATTATTTTTTTTGTTTAAATAAATTATTAAATTATTGATAATTAAATAAGAATATTTAAATGTAATTTAATGAGTATTTTAAAAAATTTCTTACCTTGGTTAAAAAAAATTTTGAAAATATTTTAAATGAATATTTATAGAAAGTGATAATTGAGTAATATTCAATAAGTGTCTAATGCAAGAAGAATTTATTGAATAATTTTTTGTGATAATTTTTTTCCCGGGTAGTACAGCCTGATACAAAATAATTTCAACTGGCATGAAGTATATGAAGTTGGCAGTAAGTGAAATCTAGAGTGACGATTGGTCCGTCGAGTTTACAGTGCGTTCAAAACAGACAATAACATTTAATCCATTGTAAATTTTAATCTAGTCTGTGGATCACATGCAAGTTATAAGTTATCAGAGACACAAAGCAAGGCAAGAGTAAAAATGTCCCGTTTGTTAGCCTTGAATGTCAAAATAATAAATTTAGTTGTTACGCTAAGTGAGTTTAGTATTAAATAATAACATACATTGTGTTAATGTAATTAGATAAGTTATATATACAGTTAAAATATAGTAATATATATATATATATATATATACAATAAAATAAATAATATATTTAAAACGTCAAAAATGGACCAAAGTATGTACAGAGAAATGGAAGAACGTAGGTCTATACGTGATAACAGCAGAAATTTAAAAAAATACGGGAGTACATCCAAGCATGTTGTACGTAATGACAATTTAGTAAAACATATTATTTGCAAGACGGATACACTTCCAGGTATTGCATTAAAATATGGAACTACGGTACGTTATACTTTACTACTTTCTCTAATATTTATTATTATAATTATACTTTTATTGGTGTCAAGCACAAGCACGTGACACTTGTGTTGATTATTTAATTATCGGCTAATTTATTATTTTATTTATCTTACAGACTGAACAAATTAGGAGGATAAATAGGTTATGGGCATCTGATAGTTTATTTTTACGTGAATATTTATTAGTTCCTGTTCCTGTACAAAAAAATTCAGCGTCGACGTCATCGTCCTACATTAATAATGATGGAATCGCTGAATCCAATGAAAGTGACAATTGTCAAGACCCAAGTGCTAATACGCTGTCTTCGGACGAAGACAGCTCAATCAATAATTTTTTAGCTAGAATGGATTCCTCGATTGCTAATGTTAAGAAAGATATACAAAAAACCCAGGGTAATAGTGCGTAAGTATTTTTTTTTTTTAATTCTAAAATTTATTTTTAAATAATACATTAAAATAAAATTATCTAAAAATTTTAAGAATTTTTTTTTTTTCACTTAATAAATTACTACAAAAAAATTTTATTTGAATATTTTTTCATTTCTAATTAAATTATTAAAAAAAAAAATTTTTTTAATATCTACAAATTTTAGGATAATAAATAAATGAAAATTAATGTAGCACATATTTAATAATTTTATTTATTTATTAACAAATAAATTATGGCAAAAAAAAAAAAAGAAAAAAAAAGTGACTTTGAGAAATTGAAAAAAATAAAAAATGCAATTTTTTAAAAATAAGTTTTTGGAACAAATCTTTTTGTTAAATAAAATTAAAAAATTGTCAAGTAATAGCTAACTTGTATGTCATTTAATTTAGCCGATATTTAATAATTTTTTTAATAAATAAATTGCTGCATAAAAAAAATTGGATATTTAGAAATTTTAATAAATTAAAAATGCAATTTTTTTAGAATAATTTTTTTGGAACAAATTTTTTTGTTAAATAAAATTAAAAAATGGTCAATTGACAGCTAACTTTAATATCATAAATTATTTTATTTTTTTTTATTTATGTAATTTATATGCCAAGGCATAAAGCCAAATAGCAAGAAGTAAATATATAAAGTTTTATTTCACATAAATAATATAATTAAAATTTGAGCTTGAGTAAATAAAAAATTTATTACATTCAGAAAGAGTAGTTTGAATATCTTAATATATACATTTTTTTATATTTCATCAATATTTATCAGTAATTTAAATAGAAATTTATGGCAAAAAAAATTGACATGTAGAAATTAAAAAAAATTAAAAATATAATTTTTTAGAATTAATTTAATTGTTAAATAAAATTAAAAATTGATCAAGTGACAGTTAACTTTAATGTCATAATAAATAATATTTCAATTATTTGTTTACTTCAATTTAAGTTATTTATAATCTTCTTATCGAATATTATTTTAGAATTTATTTTTTTCCCCATGATTTTTATCAACGACGTACTTTAAACTTTGTTCTAGATAATTCCAATACTAAAAAATAAAAAAGAAATTTTTAAAATTAATAAATATATTTAAGGTACTAGGAAAATATTTTATTTGTAAAATTTTGAGATAATTTTTTTTATTTTGACTAACAGATATCTTTGATAAAATCATATCTGATAAATGATACAATAAAAACACTGATTACTGTTAATCAATGTTATCATAAAATAAAATTAATAAAAAAAATAATGATTCATTGAATTTACAGATTTAGTCCAGAAGAAGAATTATTATTTGTACAAAGAAGAACAGGAAGTCGTTTACGTCATTCGCACCCCCAGCCTTCGCCACTGCATTCTTCATTTTCAACAGCGTCATCTTCATCTTCTCACCTCTCATCAGCTGCAGGGCCTGTCAGATCATCGTCAGAAGACAACGTTCACGACTTGCCTTCAGCTGTGGTGATGACTCAAGGGAAAAAATTAAAAAGCTCGCTGCAAAAATTGCAGCAGCAACAAGACGAAATATTTCAATTGTAGCAATTATTAACAAACTACAATAACGAACAACTATTAACATTAATATTAATATTTAAAGAAAGCTATATTGTAAAATATGTATATGTTAAATTTATATTATATAAGAAACGCGACAAATAGACAGAGTATTACCATGACAATATTTTATTTCTCATCTAAATTAACAACAAATAATTTTAATATTTTAGTTTTTTTAATTTAATATTCTAGTTTTTAATTATTTTACTTATTTCCCATCTCCCAGATCTTCTTCACGGATCCACTGACGCCTGGTCCGTTGTAAATTAGAGCTCCAAGGCCAGCCAATGTCGCCACAGAGAGAGCGTACAACAGACCCATCAGAATTTTTGGTAAAACTGGACCAACAACTGCTGGACGCGCATAATCAATAATCAATGCTTCCAATCCCCTGTTTAAATTAAAATTTTGAAGTAATTAAATTCATCAAAATTTTCTTCTAAGTTTTTAGTTGATAATCTATATTATTCAGAGAATAAGAAAAATTTTGTTTCCAGGATAGTCATATGATAAAATCGGTTGTTTTAATAAAATTTGAGTTGATTCCCCATTATCTTGTGAAATATTGACATTTTTTAAGATATAAGCTCATTCCGATGTTACACTCATCGAGACCATTCATTTGAGTACCCACATGCATTTTTGATATATTTTTCATTTATACATATATATAATATATATAAATATATGAAAAATTGATGTGGGTACTCAAATGAAAGCTCTTGATGAGTGTATCATCGGGATGAGCTTATATCATTAAAAACGTCAATATTTAAGAAAATAAAGAGTAATTTAACAAAAGTCATTATTTAATAGAGCAAAATTTTAATTTTTTATAGTTCACAAGTCACGGCAGTCACATAGTGACTGCAAAGTTGCTAGTTTAAAATAATTAACTAAACTACGTACCAGTGAGTGTGTATTACGAGTAAAGTCGAAAAGAGAACATCAACAAAAGCATTCTGTAGCATAAAACAAGCTGGGAACAAAATAATAAATGCTGCTGAAGCTACTCTCTCTAATTGCCACAATCGAACGTGATCATGAGTGCTTGATGAACGTATCTGACTAGCAAAAGCACTTACAGTACCTGGAAACTAATTAAAATATCGCAATTAATTCAATTTTCAAGATAAAAAAAAATTAAGTGGTTAAAGCTACTCACTTTCTTCAATTGGTTAATACTTTGCAAGGATAATCTAGCGACATTTTTGGTAAAAGATGTCGAGCTATAAACTCTGACAGCAGCTGGAGCAACATTTCTTTGGACGATCACTCGATTGGGTCCAATTAATTCTAAATTAAAAAATTATTTTTAGGTTTTTTGTTATTCCTCAAATACATTTTTAAACAATGATCAATTATCATGAATGAAATAAGAGTTAATAACTTACTCGCTAAAGTTGGAAGAGTCCTTCCAATTTGACACCTTGATAAATAAGCCATTACAGTAATATTTACAGTAGAAATTAATATTAAATATTGGTTATTATGTAAAATATAACCATCAATTGTCAGGTGAATTATCCTAGAGAAAAATTCTAGTTTATTTTGGTCAGTTGGTATCAAAACTTGTGATTCTACGCGGATTTTTTTTACGGTTCTTAAAGTTGATTTGATATTGCTGATGTGACATGTGCGCTGATTGGCTGTTGTTGTCAGTGCTAAAAAACAATTTTACCAACAAGACGGTGAAAAATATATGAAAATAAAATTAGCTGACATCTACAAATTTTTAGAATTTTTTTTTTTATTGAAAAAATTATTACACAAAAAAATAAAAAAAAATTTTATTTGCAAAAAACTTAAAAAACTATGAGTGCAATTTTTAAAAAATATTTTTTAGTTCTAATTTAATAAACAAAAAATAATCAACAAATTAAAAATGTCGGCTAATTTTAGTATTATATATTTAATTTTTGTGACAATAAAGTTGTCACTTGACGGAAATTAGAAATTTTTTCAGAATTTTATACCAATTAAATTATTATAAAAAAAATTTAATTAAAAAATTGTGATATTAAAGTTAGATGTTACTTGAGCATTTTTTAATTTTATTTAACAAAAAAAATTTGTTCTGAGAAATTATTTTTAAAAAATTGCATTTTTAATTTTTATTAAATTTACTAAATGTCAATTTTTTTTATGCAATAATTTATTTATTAGAAAAATTATTAAATATCTGCTAAATTAATTTTCATAAAAAATTCCACATGTAAAAATTAATAAAAATTACTAAAATTACAAGTGAAAATTTTTAGAAGCATTTTTTTACTATAAATGATTTGTTTAAAAAATTTTTAAAATTGACAGCTGACAGCTAACTTCAGTATTATTAATTTTTAACACTTTATAAATTTTGTTTTGATAAAAGATAAACAAATTTATTGTTTATTTTGAATTACTGTCAAAAAAAAATGTGAGTAAAAAATTAAAAAATTTTGTATAATAGATGAATAATAATTTTTTATAATTTTAGATTATATAATTTCCATATTATAAGTAAGTCAAGAAAAGTGAATTAGATGATTATGCAGTAGTGACACATGAAGATTGATGATAAATGATAAGTTTATAATTTTTTAATCTTCAATTAATAATTGAAATAGGTATTATTGTGATTTACATGAAGTTAGTTGAATAGCAATAACTTCATCATTGGACATTACTGATGTAACATCACAGATGATTGGTGGGTGGAATTTTTCGATTTAGATTACCAACAGAAATGCTGGGTGGTAAACTTTTGGCAGGGACTGTCCAATTGTCACCCGAAGCTGAACGTTTATAAGCACAAAAAGAGTAATTGTCAATATCGCAATGAGTTTCGACAATGGATTGTTAATAACCAGACTCGGTATTACCGTAACAATTATGAATTTATTATACTAAAGTATTTAAACAAGTGTTTAAAGTTTAATCGCTTGGTATGTAAACCCTACTTTCATAAGTGTATTTTAAATAAGCTATAATTATATACTATCCTAGTTTTTTGGAGTTTAATTTACCAACAAGACGCTATTGAGTTAATAACCCAGCTAGTTTATTTATCATCAAAATTTCTCAGGGATAAATAATGATAATCCAGTGCTTGATAAGATGACATTGAAGTTAGCAGTCATAATCATTTTTTAATTTTTTTTAACAAACAAATTTGTTCGAAATTATTTTTAAAAAATTGCATTTTTTAATTTTCTAGATGTCAATTTTTTTACAATAATTTATTTGTCACTAAAATAATAATAATAATAATAATAATAATAATAATGAAATTAGCTGTCAATTTTTATAATAAAAAAATTCTAAAAATTATCACTTGTAATTTTTATTAATATTCACAAGTGGAATTTTTAAATTAAATTTTTTTTTATGATAATTTAATCACCATAAAATTCTAAATAAATTTTTTAATGTCTGTAAACTTCAGTGTCATAAATTATTAAATATCAGATGAAAATAAAGTTAGCCGACATCTAAAAAATGTTATGATTTTTTATATTAAAGAATTATTAGAAAAAAAAATTTTTCATTTGTTAAAAACTTAAAAAACTATAAGTGCAATTTTTTAAAAATATTTTTTAGTTATAATTTAATAAATTACTCCAAATAAAAAAATCAAAAATGTCGGCTAATTTTATTATTATAAATATCGGCTAAATTAATTTACATTTAAATAACAGATAAATAATTTTACAGAAAGCACCAAGTATGATCTGCTGTTTGCTGTTAGAAAAAAAATGTATTATGAAAAGGAAACTCTTCATGATCATCCAATTTCAAATATGTGAGTACTCGTGCTGGCTTAAATCAATAATCAATATTTTTTTCTCTGATAAAATGGGCATTGTTGTATTATTGTTAGTCACACTTATGTAAAATATTTATTTTCAATACCCATTGTTTCGTTTATCTTTAGGAATAAGTCAGTGGAAAATTTATTGTTATCAAGTCACGACGTTCTAAGTTCTATAAATTCGTCATCTCTGGGAGCACTGAATCCCAATAAATCAGGAAATGAATACTCCGGTGAAGAATTAAATGATTCGACGTCTAGTAAAAATGATAATGAACGTAATCGGCCGCTTAGTCCAAATTCATCTCCTCAGTCGAGTCCGAAAATTCATAACAGAAAAGAATACTGGAAAACATCCGGCTCTTCCGCGTCTAATTTGTCGCTTAAAGAACATGATAATTGGTCAAAGGCTGATGATCAGTCATTGGTAGTACTTTATTAATTTATTTATTTATTTATTCACTAATAAAAAAAATACTTGATATTATTTTTGTGTGGATTAGGAACCAGCAAATAGATCATCAGATTCAACAGAAGCTGGTCGCAGTACAACCGAAATTCGCAAAGAAGGAAGAACTGATCGTAGTAAAAAGAAATCATCATGGTACAATGTTCTTTATCCAACATATAAATCGCGTTCTGAAGATTTTAAGAGAATTTTCAAAGACGTTCCTGACGACGAAAGATTGGTAGTAGGTTTGTATTAATTTTATAAAATAGGTTTATTTATTTTTTAATTTTTTATTAAGGTAGTTCACTCGGGACTTATTATCAGGATTTTATATGGAGAAAAATAATTATGAACTAAAAATAAATGCATTCAATTGATATTGAGTCATTGAAATATTTCTATAAGCTAAATTAATATCCATTTAGTTTTTTTATTGTAATTATATTTTCTCGTCTAAAAAATCGGTCAAATTGATAAAAATAATTTTTAATAAATGCGAACTTCATAATTAAGGCAGATTCGCTTTTACTAATGGTTATTTTTATCTATAACTAGCTAGTTTATTAACAATTTATAAAAAATTACATGGTAAAAATTTTCAAAATTTCTTTGGATTATTTTAAGTATATTATTCTAACAGGTATCAATTTTTTGAAACGATATTAAAATCCTTTAGCAATAATTATTAATATTTGAGATTTTCTCACTCTCCACCCATACTGTCTGTGCTAAAATATCATTTTTAATTACAATTATCTCATTTCTGGTATGGTCAATTGATTTCAAATTTCAACAGCACATGTAATGCGTATTCTATTACCCAAATTTCAAATTTTGAAAGCTTCTTAAATTTTGCATTAGAATAAACTGATAAATTTTTCAGATTATTCGTGTGCCTTACAACGGGAAATATTAGTCCATGGACGACTGTACGTATCTCAAAATTACGTTTGTTTTTATGCAAATATTTTTATGTGGGAAACCTTGGTTTCTCTTCGTTGGAAGGACGTTGAATCAATAACCAAAGAAAAAACAGCACTTGTAATACCAAATGCTATCTCGATATGCACCAGCAAAGATAAATTTTTTTTAACAACTTTTGGTGCTCGAGATAAAACTTACCTCATGTTATTTCGCGTATGGCAAAATGCGCTTATTGGCCAGGTGAGAAATTATTGTTACTTATTAAATTTATTTATTACACCGGCACACAAAAAAAATTAAGTAGAATGTGCATTTGACCGGACCTACCTACGGGTACGTATTTTGGTCCGCTGAATCCGAATTCGAGGTCAGTTTGACCCCTACACCCTCAAAATTTCGAGAAAACTTCAAAAAACTGTAAAAATGATGAAAATTGGCAGTTTTAATGATAAAAAAATTTTTTGGAACTAAACTAAGCGTGATTTTCATGTATTTTGATCCGCTGAATATGAATTGAAACTTTATTGAGACCACGAGCCATTTCAAATGTAAAAAAATCACACAAACCCTCCAAAATTCCGAAAAAAGTAATTTTTTTGGTTTTTTTACTCTCGTTTTTGACTTTTGAAGACTTAATTGCTTGTGCCTGTAACCAGGGCACCTCTGCGTGGTGATGGTGGGCAACAGATCCATCTGGCAGAGTCCCTGGGTTAACGGCGTGTGTGCCGTCATGGCAGGTACAAGTGATAAGTACTTTACGATGCAGGGAGTCGGAGCCTCAGTATCGGCGTCTGGTCAGGGTGAAAAAGCAGGCTCGCCGGCGTTGTCATCAAGTGACTGTAGCTCTTCAGAAGTGGGAAACTTGGCTACTGGAGAGTATACTATTACAAGAAGTAATTCTCATCTGTGTAATAAAAGTCCTGATTCATTTTGTTACATTTGTGGAGAATTCAATTTGGAAAGGAATCGAAGATCGTTATCTGATAAGATCGAACAAATTTATGAAGAATGTTTTGGTCTCCAAATTACTAATTTGGATTCAGCATGGGTTCCACATACGTCTTGTAGTCGATGTTTCACAAAACTTTTTGGGAAATAACAGAAGTGAGGATTACAGCACTTGACTAGTTGACGCATTGCTGGAAAACTACAAAAATTTGGGTTGTTTAATGAATCTCAAATTACACTTTTTAGATTCTCATCTTGACCACTTCCCTGACAATTGTGGAGACTATAGTGAAGAACAGGGAGAACGTTTTCACCAAGACATCAGTGAAATGGAGAGTAGATACCAAGGGAATTGGAGTGTTAATATGATGGCAGATTTTTGTTGGATGTTAAAAAGAGAAGTACCCGAAGAAAATCGTAAATGAAAGAGGAGTCCACTACGAAGATCATTTGAGGATAGAAGAGTGCGATACAAACGAAGGAAAGTTTAGGATTCGTAAAAATCATTTCTTTCTATCTTTTTATGTCTTGTGTTTTTCACAAATTTCAAGTTATTTGATATATCTACGTTATAGAGTATTTATTTTAGGCATTAAATCATGTTGAATCAATTTTTTTTCTGTTATAAATGGTAATTTTTACAATTTTTTCGAATTTTTCCAGCTCTAGAGGGTGAATAGACTAAAAAAATTAAGATGCGAATTAAAGACATCAAAAGATATAAAATTTCATCTGAATTGGACTAGAAGAAGTTTTTTTATCATGAAAACTATATTTTTTCGGAATTTTCGAGAGTTTTGTGTGATTTTTTCACATTTAAAATGCCTCGTGGTTTCAATAAAGTTTCGATTCATATTCAGCGGATCGAAATACATGAAAATCACGCTTAGTTTAGTTCCAAAACATTTTTTTATCATTACAACTGCCAATTTTCATAATTTTTACGGTTTTTTGAAGTTTTCTCAAAATTTCGAGGGTGTAGGGGTCAAACTGACCTTAAATTCGGATTCAGTAGACCAAAATACGTACCCGTAGGTAGGTCCGGTCAAATGCACATTCTACTTAATTTTTTTTGTGTGCCGGTGTTCGGTGTTATCATTAAGGCGAATTATGTTATCTTACTGATATTCTCTTGACAGCCAATGAGTACCGCTGAAATGTGGTCGCTTGTCCACGCATGCTATGGAGAAGAATTAGGATTAACTTCCGACGACGAGGATTACATTCCACCTATAGCTGCAGCGGAGGAGGAGAAATTACCGTCGCGTTTATCCACGGAATCCTTTTCAGAGGTATTTTTTTTTATTTATTAAATTTATTTTTATAATTAATTAATATTAATATTAATATTGTCTTATAGGCTGAAGCAGCACCTGCTGACAATGTACAATCAAGAGTTGATCCCATTCCCGAAACTATCGATAAAATTGACTCTAAGCCAGATGTTAATTTAGACCCGACCGATATGAGTGATACGACTGAAAGTGAGGCTGAAAAACAAGCACGTGAGTATATTTACGTACGAGCTATTTAACCAAAGTCAAAAATTTTTGTAAATATTTACAAGTGGGGTCAATTATTTTAATTTTCATTTTTTTAAACAAAATTTCTATTTGATTTTATTGATATATTTTTTTTTTGATAAAAATTTTAAAGTTTTGAAAAATTCATATTATTTCTTCAAAATTATTATAAAATAAAAATTATAATAATAATAATCATATTTTTTTTTGTAACAAAAAATAAAGCGATCATTCTGGGGGTATTTGTTTTTCAGGAAAATTGTGGGGGGGGGGGTGGATATTATAATTCTTATTTTATAATAATTTTAATGAAATAATATGAATTTTTCATAACTTTAAAATTTTTTCTGGTCTATTTTTTACGATTACCTCCAAAAACATGAGAGCCAAAATTTATTCCAACTTTTGAAGGCTACAAAGCGATCGAAATCTTTATTTTTTTTCTTTCACGATATTTTTTTATCATATAAATGCGCCGTAAAAACAAGCAGAATAAAAAAAAATTTGAAAACGTTAATGTTTCACCTAGTTATGGCCCAAAATAGGGTTGACCCGACTTGTAAATAATTACCAAAATTTTTTTAAAAATAATTAAGCAATAAAAGTTTTTTTTTTTTTTTTTTTTTTCAGTAAGACTAGGCATAAGAAGCACGACAGTATGTACAGCAGCACACGACGGCCGTCAATTATCAAATGCAGTTTTACCAATCCATATCGATCAATTATTCACCCTACTATTTACAAGTTCAAAATTTTTCCTGGACTTTCACACGGCTCGAAAAACTACGGACTTGATCCAATCAGCTTGGACGCAAGATCCCGAGACAGGGCAAAAAATGCGAACAGTATCTTTGACAGTATCTCTAACGCAGCCAGTGGGTCCACGAACATCTCAGGTAACAGAGACGCAAATAATGCTTCCATGCAGTCGTCCAGGTCACCGTTATTCCATAAATGTCGAGAGCTCGAACGCGGGGATTCCCTACGCAGACTCCTTCAGCGTTATTACTCATTTTTGCATGGTTGCGGTAACTGAAAATGAAACCAGCCTGAATATTTCCTCCGTAATAAAATTTAAAAAGCACGTGTGGTCTGTCATGAAGAGTTTGATTGAGAAAAACGCGTGGGCTGGAATGGAGGAGTACTACGGAAGTTTGACCAAAGCTCTGAGTGTTGAGTGTGAGGACACCGCCAGTGGTAATGGCATTAAAAGAAAAGCCAGAAGACGAAGACGAGCAGTAGGTGTTAGTCCCTCGCTACCAGTTCATGCTCCTGATTTACCTACCACGCTTTCAGCCGCAGTTGCTGACCCACCACATGTTATTAGCAGTGCTTCTAAAACTCGGGAAGACCCGACTAATTTAATGAACTGGATTCTACTAATTGCTGTTTTCTGCTTGATGATCATTAATGGATTGCTTTACTACAAGCTCTGGGGACTTGAAGACGCTGCAGCTTATACTGTGATGGACCTCCATGTTCTTCGGAGCACTCCCAAGTCCGAGGAGGACTGGATTAATTTGTTACAGCAACAGGAAAGTTTGCATAATGTTGAGATGCGGAAATGGCAAAGAGTTTTACATACTGCTGCACAACTACTTAGACAGGTAGACTTTTTTTTATAGGCTGAAAAATACTAGTAGAGTAGAACCTCGTCGAACCTCGAAGAAATGTTTCATCCTCTTCCCTCCAAGCCTCAAAACTTTCATTGCTCGAAATTTTTAACCTCTATAAGTCGAAATAATTAGTAAGTCCCTACAAGCTACTTCTGTACATATTTTAAGGGTTGCAGTCAACTAGTTAGGCTGATAACATTTCGAATTAATAAATTACTAGAACTTCGAAAGTAAATATAAAATAATTAATTTTAAAATTCCGAAAAATATAATCTTGAATAAAGAAAAAACTAAAGCTATATTAATAGAATCATTTAAAGTTACAAAGTTTCAATAAATTAAAAAAACATAACTACTTAAATTTTTACGCCAAAATAAATGAACAGACGAACACTCGTTTAGCCGAAAAATGTAAATATATAGTTATTTGGATGAGTAATTTTCGGCCGAATCATTATTCAGATAAATATACGTCAGAACGAACCTTTTTTGAAATTAAATTAATTTTAACTCTTGAGAAATATAAGATTTATGTTTACCTATATTCGATAGCTCGGTGTTTTATAATTTATAAAATTGTTTTTAGGCTGGTATTCTATTCAAGCTAATGTATTTTATAAACTTTTAATGTAAGTAGCAGAGTTTAAAAATTTTTTGGCTTGACCGCAACCCTATTTTCTCTCTATAACTCGAAAAATTTAATTTTACCTCCGTATCTCGAACATAGCAATGTTTTATTTTACAACCTTTACAACTTGATTATTTGAGACTTTTAAGATGACTCGAATAGATAGAGAACACCTGAATTACTGACTTTTTTTTAATGCCATATTTTATTATTTTAAGGATATTTTGAAATAATGTTGATTTATAATAAATGAAAATATGTGTCATCTCTGTAAAAATTAATTGATGTTTGATTGAATTTCAGACAGAGGATTCATTGATTGAATTGCAAAAGAGTATGCATCCAACGTCGACAGAAAAAGTATTTTCTGTTTTAAAACCAAATTTAAAGGGGTTTTACAACGACAGAGACGATCAACGCCATAATGAAGATATGTAATTTAAAAAAAAAAAAAAAAAAACAAAAAAGAAAAATTATTAATTAATTTAATTATGTAATTATGTAAGTAATCAAAAAGATAAAATATTGAGCCACCAAGGTTAAATATTCCTTCCAATAGCTGCTCGTTAATTGTATATTTTGAATATATTTTTTTCCGTGTATAAAAAAAAAACAAAATTATTATGAATTCCTCCCGGGGTTGTCTTTTTTGGCAATACCTTAGAAATAGTTGAATTTATTTTATTTAAAAATAATTAACTGATTTATTGTCACGAGAATAGTTGTTAATTTTACATTTCATCAACCCGATATTTATATATATATATATATTCAGTAAGCACAATTAAATAGTTTAAACAGAGAAAATGTTTATCAAATTCGTCAATAAATATATTTGGTTGTCAATAATCCGGTTATCAATTATTTTTACCTTAATTATCATTATCAGAAATAAAATATCGTATTTGTACAAAATATAGCTACAATAATTCGATGAGGTTTGTTTCTTTATTAATAGCTGAAGTTATTGAGGACGTGGACCCGGTTAACGAACGAATGTGAGATCTGAAAGTAGTCGTTGAGTTCCAGGCTTCATCTCTGATTACACCGCGGTTTCGCGGAAAGATAAGCAGTGGATCTTTACCAGTCTTCTGACAGAGTTTTTCCTGGAGCATTATTAACTGGGATCTCCAGTATTCGTAGCTAGCCTGCTTCAACGCGGCCACCCACTGATTTACCTGGTCTTCAGACCTACCAGTCAGGATGTGACGTTTGTCCAACTCATCTCTGAACACAATGCTGAAAGCAAAAGGTCCTTCTGATACTGAGTCCGTGTTTACATTGTAGTTCTCCAGGACGAGTATTCCAGCAGGTTGTTTTTCGTCGATCTGGCCAAGGTCAGTAATGTTAAAGTAAAACAACAAGTTGCTTTTTAGTTTAAACCATCGCTCTTTGAATGCTGAAAATGTCAATTGTTGTTGTTGGTTATATATAATATGACTAATTCTATTTATAATTGTGACGTATGTATGAAGAAAATTAAAAAGAAGAAATAACTCGATACAGTGTCATTTATAAAATACGACTTTTGATATCAATAATAATAAACAAATAGTTAAAAAAAAAAAAAAAATAAATAAATAAATAAATAACAAACCTGATTTATGAGCACGCTTGTGATTTAAACGTCCTTCCAGTTCACCGATACCTCGGCTTATTTCAATTAATTCTTTTTCATTGTATTTCATGATTTTTTACGCCACTTAATTATTAAAATAACTTTATACATTTGATTATTGATACATCCTACCGATGACATCGCTCGGAAGTTAGTAGCGATTGTAATTACTGAAAATGTATAATGAGACTGAAGTTAGCTGACAGCTGTCAATCTTTTAAATTTTAATCAAAAATAAATTACTTTTAAAATTTCAATAATTTTTTTAAAATTTTTACATGTAAAATTTTTTTATAGCGATAAAGTTAACCGACGTTTTTAATTTTATGTTTTTTTTTTTCTCTCATTAAATTACAACTAAAAAATATTTTTAAAATTTTTTTATAAATGAATTTTTTTTTTATTTTTCTGTGATAATTTTTTTTAATAAAAAAAAAAAATTACAAAAATTTGTAGATGTCAGCTAATTCAATTTTTATAAAAAAATTTCCAACATCAGTTAACTTCACTTTCTTTAATAAATTCTAAACTCTGAAGTTATCCGCCAGTGTTTACATAACAGTGCCACGATCTACGCTTTGAGTGTTGTTTACTTTTACTTTCACGCTTTCTCCAACCAAATAATATTTTAAAAATCTCACCAAAATAAATGAACAAAAAAATAAACAATGAATACTATTTTAGAAAGTACAGAACTTTATATCGACACATTTACTGAAATAGTGAAAAAACTGTCAGCATCTCTAATGACACTGACACTCAACACATTTGGATTCTCCTCGGAGTTGATAAATATAGTGAAAACCAAAGAAATATCGTATATGAGTGCACTAGATTATTTAAAATTATTTATAAATTATCTGGCATTTGATAATTTTCAATTGTTATTGCTCAAACTATTTATATGTACATTTGTTTGTATTATTATAATGATCTACGGAGCTTGGTGGATTTATGGATCACGCATATCTGATCGTTTCATGGATCGAGGTAGTTTTTTTATTAAAAATTAAACAATCACTTACAAAAAACAATAACTATTACTAATCTTAATAATTGATGAATTTTTTGTTGCAGTTATCAATATGGACAATAAACGCGGTAGTTTGATCAATAATTAGCAAAAAAAATTGATAAATTATTTATTATTAATATAATAAAATAAAAACTTAATCTAATTTTATATAAAATAAAATTTCATATCAATAATAAAATTGTATCGATAAAAACTTATAGCTATTTTTCAGTCGATATCTAAATCATCTCGGTGAGAAGCGATAAGATTTTTAGTAACCACTGAAATCATATCAGTGTCAAGATCAGGCTTTGAGCCTGAATTATTTTGAGCGTCGTCTGTAGATTTAACCATGTAAACTTGGACCTCTGTTTTCCCTGGCTCGTCAGGTGATTCTTTAGAAACAATAACAAGAGACCCGGGTTCCATGTTGGTGATGTCGGTGGTAGAATTTTCATCGCGTTCCAGCGAAAGAATTTTAGGTCCAGGCGCTGAATCAGCGCCAGGCGTGTCTGCGTCTTCTGTAGGAGTTTTGTCACCCAGAATATTATCCAGAATGTGCTTAGAATTGATCCTGAATTTTTTAGGTCTGGGAACTCGTCCAGAGCGAGTTGGACGTGGTCTGTAGATTTCAGTGTCACTTTCGCTGCCAGCGTCTGCAGAATCTTCGTCCGAGTGAACAGATACCGATTTCAAGCGTTTTAATTTCTTCTTTTTCTGGGTTGGTAGCTGCTCTTTCTCTGGCTTCGGAGGTTTAGCGGATCGTTTTTTCTTTTTAATCTGATTAGGGTCCTGCTTATGTTTTTCATCTTCGTGGTTCAACGCGGCGAGACCTAAACTGGTAACAGCAATTCTACGCTTTGCTTTCTTCTCTTTGGCTGGTGCATTTTTCTCCACGCGCTTTTTGTTAGATTCCATCTGTTCAAAAGTCTCCAGCTCCTCTTTAAGCAGATCAAAATCAAAGTTTACGCCAGACTTTAGAGCTTTCGATACCAATTTTCCGTTTGCCTTCTCCTCTTTTTTGTACTTGCGTTTTAGGTCACTGCGTGTACGCTTGGGAAACAGAGATTTCATCAGCGAAAAATCTGTCCCAATGGCATTCAATGCTTTGTAAAATTTTATTGTCTCCCACTTTGGCCATTCTTTCATCCTCGCACGCTGCTTGTAGAACCCGCTGCCGTAGATATTGTCGTCAATAACTGCATCGGTTCGAGCTAAGGCTTCACGCTGTTTAATTACTGATGTTCTTTCTATAACAAGACTCTGCTCGTCTAGAATCAGCTCTCCGTCAGGCCCGATTTTAACTTGTGGGGCTGGCATACCACCTTCGTCAGGCTCCTCAGGGTCATCTGCATCTTCGTTTATTATTTCTTCATCACTTGGTACAGATCTAAAATATAGTAATAAATTATTTGTCAATAGTAACAAATTATTTTATAATTTGTACTTTTAATTATTTTCAATTTCTAAATGTGTAATTTTTTTATTAAAATTTTTTCACAATAATTTAATTATTAAAAAATCTAAAAAGTTTGTTAATTTCAAGACACTGGTTGAGAGATATTAGAAATTTTATTAGAATTTTATAGAAATAAAATTACTCTGAAAAAAATTTAATAAAAAAATTCCACATGTAAAAATTAAAAAAAATTATTAGTAAAATTTTTAGAAGCATTTTTTTTATTGTAATTAATTTTTTAAAAAATTTACAGTTGTCAGTTAATTTTAGCATTATTTAATTTTAAATGACAAAGAAGTTAGGCAGTCACTTGACTTTTTTTAAATTTTATTTAACTAATTTGTTGTTAAAATTTTAATTCTTTTAAGAAATTGTTATTTATATAAATATCTTTTAAAGTTTTTTAAGAATTTTAAGAAATTTTTTAAAAAATTTTTTTGAAAAAATTTCTGTAAAATTGTTGTTTATAATTTATGTAATCAAAATCTTTGGTCCACAACAACTTAAATGACTTATTTTATTATTTTATTTAACAAAAAAATTATTTTTAAAAAATTGCATTTTTAATTTCTAAAAGTCAATTTTTTTGCCATAATTTATTTGTTACAAAAATTCTTAAAATTATTAAATAACTGCCAAGTTAATTTTAATTCCAGTATAATTATAAAACAAAAAGTTCATTAAAAAAAGTAAATAAATTACCGAAAAACAGGCTTCTTAGAAGTTTCAATTTGCGTCATCGGATTAGTCGAAGGATTATAATGAATCAAATCATACATCGTCAATTTAGAGCGATCTGGTTTGCCATCTTTGTGCTCCAACCGAAAACTTCTCTTCTTCTCAGCCAGCTTTCTCGTGGACTCTGAAATAACAAACTTTTTTTTCGGCTTGACATTACTCTTGGTCCCAGCAGTCGACGATTCATTATCAGTATTACTGTTATTATTATTATTATTATTATTATTATTATAATTAACATTATTACTACTATTATTATTAGCACTAAAACTAATACTGAGACTACACTGATTATTGTCCGAGTTTTCTGGAGCAGTCCTGCTAGGATTGCTGATCGGCACAGAAATAACTCTGCGGCTGTCATCTTCAGATTCACTGGCACTGGCGCCGCTTCCTTGAACGCTGTTTCTTCTCACTCTAGGACGAGCGTCTAGCCTCGGAACGGGTCTCATGAAACATGACCGTGGTAATAATTTCTTCGCTGTTGAAGAAATGTTTTTTTTTTGCTCACTGGAGCTGGTTTCTGCATCAGAAACGTCAGTAGTGACATGGCCATCAGTAACAGCACCGTTGGTAGGCTCAACAGCTGATTCAGCAACAGGAGCATCAGACACAGCTTCATTAACAGGTACAGGAATATCAAAATCAATTTTTTTATCTAAATTATTGACAGTATCACTTTTTTCGGCTGACTCTTTATCAGTTTCACCTGATATTTTTTTATCACTGTCATTATTCGGAATAACTTCCTCCGATTTAATTAATTTATCACTTACACTGTCCGATTGTTTGTTTACTTCTTTTTCCAACGTATTCCCAACGCTTGTGTCTGGATCTTTAACCACATTACGCGGCCTGCGGCTCTGAATATTGGCTGTCACAATTACACGTGAGCGAAACATAATTAAAATATTTATATTATTATAAATGTATAAAATTATGTTGTTTATTTTTTATTAATATTATTAATAATATAAAACTATTACTATATATCATTATCTAGATCCAGACTTTCACGTGTAGTGTTTTACCATCAATCATGTTTTATAACAATGGAAATAATAAAATAAACAGTTGCCTCACGCTCTTTGTCCAGCTGATTTTTAAATCTTACGCTAGGTGTCGCTAAATAGTTATTCTTAGACGATACTGAAGTTAGCTGACGTTTATAATTTTTTTTTTTCATTAAATTGAAACTAAAAAATATTTATTTAAAATTGCACGTGTAGTTTTTCAAATTTTTTACTAATAAATTGTTTTTGTTATAATTTTTTAAATAAAAAAAATTCTAAAAATTATATTAATAAAGTTTAATTTATTATTATGACATTAAATTTAGCTGTCACTTGACAATTTTTTTTAACAATCAAATTTCTTAAAAAAAAATTGCATTTTTAATTTTTAAAAATTTTTAAAAGTCAATTTTTTTTATAATTATTTTTTGTCATAATTTATTTGTTACAAAAATAATTTTATTGTTATTAAATTATATAAAAAAAAGTTTTTGTATCAGTTAACTTCAGTGTCATTTCTAGAATTCTTAATTTCTGATTGGCAACATTGATAACAAAGTTTGAGGTGTCGCGAAAATTTGGGGCTGGGGGTAAAAAGATGCTGGAGATTGGAGAACTGGAAAAAAAAAAAAAAAAAAAAATGGAGACAGACGTTAAATTGGAATGACAGCTACAACTGAAACTCTGACCCCGTCGGGCTAATGACATATAACCTCTAGATCAAATGATAAACAACACACTGTTTCCTGGTAATTTAAGTTGTAAAATAATATTTATTAATGAAAAATTATGTAAATATGGACGGTGAGATCAGCCAAGTAGATCCCGAGTATTTGATGGGCCAGCTCAATACTGCGAGACGGGAAATATATAATTTAAGGTAATTATTTTAAAATTTATTCAGTGTGTCATTTATTTTATTTAATTATTATTTTGGTTGTGTTTGATAGGCAGCAGATAAAAAGTCTAAAGTACGTTTTTGAAAAAGATGTTGATAATATTAAGAGACTTATTGGACTGCAAGCATCTGCAGGAATTGTTGAAGTCGCTGAGCCGGCTGTGGAAGCTTCAACGTCGCAGTCCACCAGCTTAAATTTAGAGCCTATTGGTATTATTAACACTGGATTTCCCAGCAAGCGCGGGACTCCAAGGCAACCTGGAATTGGCAAAGAGTCGAGGGGCAAAATAACTTTGTTTAATACTGTATTTACTAATCCTGAACATGCACTCAATGGACTTGAAGATTTTTCCCACATGTGGTAATTTTATTAATTATATATTATAATTTTAAATGATAATCCGACGTTTTTAATTTTTTTTTTTTATTAAACTAAAACTAAAATAGTTTTTGAATTAAAAAAAATTCTAAAAAATTTTAGATGTCGGTTAATTTAATTTTCATTATTAAATGTTGAATAATATGACACTGAAATTGGAAGACACTTGACAATTTTTTGATTTTTCTTGAATAATAATCTCAGTTTTTAAAAAATTGTTTATAAAAAATTACACTTGTAATTTTTTATACCTTCCAAAAATGGAATTTTTCAAATAAATTTTTTTTGCTATAATTTATTAGTTAAAAAATTTCTAAAAATCATTAGATCTTTCAATTTAATGAAAATAAAGTTAGCGAACATCTAAAAATTTTTATAATTTTTTTTTTATTAAAAAAATGATAACAAAAAATTTTTTTAAAAATATAATTTCTAAAAAATTTCAAAAACTAAGTGCAAAAATATTCTTTGATTCTAATTTAATAAATTAAGCAAAATCAAAAATGTCGGCTAACTTTATTATTATTATTTCAATTTCAGTATGATTAAATAATTAAAACTTATTTTTCCCAGGATTTTGTTTCACTTTCATAGAAACGATTCAACCCACGTGCGAGCAAAAGTATCACCACCGCGCCTGAACGGTGCTCGAACAGGAGTATTTTCAACGCGTTCACCACACCGTCCGTGTCCAATCGGCCTAAGTCTGGTGAAGATCTTAAGTATCGAAGGGAATACTATTTTATTCGAAGGTGTAGACACCGTCGACGGCACTCCAGTGTTGGACATAAAGCCTTACATTCCCCAGTACGACGACCCTCTGCACGTCGAGCAAGAAATTAGGCGAGAAAATCTTGACGACCGGCTGGGTCTCTACGACCCAGCATTTAATGGTGACATCGAAGGATGCTTAGCCGACGAAGAGGGCCAAGACGTGTCTAGAGACGAGGAATTAGCAATGAGACTGCAAGCCGAGGAGTTCCAGGGTATAAGTAATGATTTAAACTTACCACAAAGATACTCTAGATCCTTCTGTCCAAACCCGTTGACTGACAATGCAAGCAACGTGGAGGCAAATAGCAGAGAATCTTCCGAAAATCCCATGCCAGGACCTTCTGGACTAGGGTTGGAAAATCAGACCCAAGAAGAGTCTGAAGACGCGAGGAATTCCCGGCTACTGGACGGCGCTGATGGACCCAGCATCGTTTGTGTGACTGACATGGATTTGATAAACCGACGGGCGTTGAACCCGCGTCTGGACAATTCTCCAGTCAGGATGGGAGTCAGAGAGGCACCTGATGGAGAAGAAGGATTTGAATCGCAGCCTCTGAGATCGTCTTTAACTGTAGGAAATATTCAGAGCATTCCTGCGGCTGGTACTTTCCAAAGCTTTCCCACGAGGTCCAGCGCAGACACTCAAACTCAATCAGACAATCAATTTCAAGTCAGAGTTCCTGATTGGATCTCTCAACCACTATCACCCTCGCTGTCGGTAGTTTTTAATGAACGCGCTGTGAGACAGTTGGTAGAGATAGCCAAGGACAAAGCTGAGGAGCAAAAACGCGCTATTGTAAATGTACTTCGTGAAGATCCTCGATCTGTTTACTTACGCCAGCGTTGGGCTAATCAATTTTATACATTTTTAATTAATGAGTTACATATTAGTTGTAGATTCGACGATACTAGACGTATCGTTACTGTCTTTCAGGTACGACACGCTGGACGTACATGCGAATGCGGTGAGCCTGAATGGCAATGTCTTGGCCACTCGCCTATATCTTAAATAATTATTATGAAATTTATGATAATTAAGTTAGCCGACGTTTTTAATTTTTTGATTATTTTTCTTTTATGAAATTAGAACTAAAAAATATTTTTAAAAAATTGCACTTATATAGTTTTTCAAGTTTTTCACAAGTGAAATTTTTTTTTTATTTTTTTGTAATGATTTTTTCAATAAAAAAAATTTTTAGAATTTTTTTTTTTTATTGAAAAAAATGATTACGAAAAAATAAAAAAAAATTTTTCACTTGTAAAAAATTTTAAGTGTAATTTTTTTTTAATATTTTTTTTATTCTAATTTAGTTATTCAAAAAAAATAATCAAAACATTTAAAACGTCGGCTAACTTTAGTATCATATAATTATTAATATTTTTTATACTTAAAACACCTGTGGCATTTTATAAACTTCATTTTTTACGCTTCTTTAAATTAATTTTTTTAAAGTTTATATGTTCATTACAAACTATTTATTTCAATTGTATGTGCAATTATTAAGTAAAAAATAATAATAGTAATAATAACTAAAAATTATGAATACATTTTTATTGTACTATCTGCACCGGCAGAGAAGACCCAAGGTTGAATTGGATGGAACATTACGTCTATTATTCCGAAATCTTCGTGTTTCTCGTGATTTGATAGGTTTTTCAAGGGTACTATCAAAGGATTTTGAAGAAGGTCGTTGTAAACCATTCCGTGACAGACAACTAGCTTGCAGTCGTCAGATCCAGATGCGAATAGTGGGTACCGTTTGTGGAAGGAGACACTTCGGACTCCTGTTCCGTGGAGTCGCAATGTTTGATAGGGCTTCGTGCTGAAGTCCAAGTCGAACCAGAGGACTTTACGGTCGTAAGTTCCCACGATAATGTTATCACCGCCTGTTGAATAAATTTTTTTTTATTAATATTCTATTTGGATACTTTATTTATATAATACTAGCAATCTTGCAGTCACTATGTGACTGCCGTGAGTTGTGAACTATAAATAAATAAAATTTGTACTTTATTAAATAATGAATTTTGTTAAATTGCACTGTACTTTTTTAATTATTGACGTTTTTAAAGATATAAGCTCATCCTGATGTTACACTCATCAAGACCTTTCATTTGAGTACCCACATGCATTTTTGATATATTTTTCATATATACATATATATATATATATATATATAAATATATAAAATATATGAAAAATTGATGTGGGTACTCGAATGAAAGGCCTCGATGAGAGTAACATCGGGATGAGCTTATATCTTTAAAAATGTCAATAGTTCACGAGATATAAGGTCATTTCTTAATTATGCTTCTAAAGGAAGAACATTTTCGAATACAGCCTAATTACTTATCATCATAAATTGATTATTGGTAAGAATGATAAGAAACCTTGAAAAGGTACAAATTCAAGTTAAAACCTTTCCAATGATACTAAATTTAACTATAAAATCCATTTTATCATATAAATACACCACAAAATTTTGCTTATTCTCTTAATAATATAGATCAAAGTATTAAAAAATAAATACCTGGATGTATTGACATGCTGGATATCCATTGGGAATTTGAGAATAATTTCTTGAAGATTTCTTGTTTAACCAAGTCGTAAATCCTAATGTTTCTTTGCGTCTGTAATAAATTAATGTTTAATTATTGAGTAAAAAAAAAAAATGAATAATTTAAATTAAAATAAAGAAACTTACAGCAACAAACAAGAAAGGCCTGATAGGATGGAACAAGACACATTGAATAAGTCCCTTGGACCTCTTGAAAGGAATTTGAGATCTTCTTTTGGACATTTGATGAATCAAAACCGATCTGTTTTGACCATCAGGCATCACAGTGGCGAAATAGTCACCTTTAGCATGCCAAACAATCTGCTTAACAATTTTAAAGTGATTCAAAATCACCCTAACTCCCTGGTCCCAGTTATCACCAGCAGCTTGTTCCCACTGAACAGCAGACTGGACTCTTTCATTAACAACAACGTCGCTCTGAGGAATAATTTCCATCAGCTTGTCAGTCTTGCTGGTAACCAAATGATCTCCAACTCCAGGGTTGATCAGCAAGACCTTCTGACCAGCAGCCACGGCTATCAGCGAGATTGCTTCATTGGGACACCAAGCCACGCTGCGAATCGTATCACCACAAGGAACAGTTTTAACACAGCGTCCAGTGGCGACTTCCCAGATTTTGAGATTCCCGTCATCTCCACCAGAGGCGATGTACTGACCCCTGTTCTGCGCGGTCATTGACCTTACAATGTCAGTGTGACCCTTGAATACCATCGACAGGGTTGTGGGGAATGGCTGGAGGTCTTGCGGGCTTGGTAGCTGAGGAACCAGTTGCTCCGGGTCGATGTTCAACTTCATCTTGTAGCCTCTCGGACACATGTAAAGGTCCAGACAACGTTGGAACCTTTCTTTGATAAAATCAGGGTAAGCTGGAACTGTTCTAAGAGAATTGTATTTCTGAGGTATGAAGTGCAGCTTCCTCTTCCAGGGAGTGTCTTTGAACTTGTTCCACTCTTTGAGCTCCTTTTTATCGAACAAGTACTCAGGTGGAGGATTGTAACTCTCAGCATGGCCTGGAAGGTGTCTTTTAGGAGCCTGGATGTGCTTGTGGATCCTCCGCATTTCTTCAGCCTGGTCATCAGTCTCCCAGAGCATGTAAAACGCCGGCATTTTACTCTTCTCCTTGCGCTCTTTCTCCAGCTCAGCCGAAGACTTCATCCAGCCCATCTTCAATGCGTGGACTATCTTGGAAACTTTCTTGGCCTCGAGCTTGGACGGCAAGAATGACCGCTTGTGCTCGGGGAAGCCTCTCAGTGGCATTTTCTCCACTTTGGAAGTAAACCAGTCGACCCACGGAGTCCAGTCGTTGTAATTTGGATCAGGGTATTGACCTTGAGCTATCTTTCTGATAATCTCAACGTCTTCGTCGGTCAAGACAACCTCCTGGCCAGTCTGTGGGTCTTTTACAGTCTTCCAGAAATCTGGATCGTCGGCTCTCTTCAAGAAATTGTCCAGTTCATCTCCTGTGTCAGGTTTTATCAGTTTCTTTCCTTCTGTGTCGTAGCCCATGTGGTCGTGCTCCTTGTACCACTGCATTGGTATGTTCCCGACTGTATTTCTGATGTCTTCTTCGTCAGAGCTGTCGTATTCTTCATACTCGTCTTTCAATTCAGGTTCTGATGTTATGTTAATTAGATCGGGTGATTTTAATTCTTCAGTTTCTGGAAATTTATTTTTAATTACTTTTTCTGATTTATTTTTAAATTTTTCTTCTTGACTATTTTTATTATTTTTATTTTTTAATGTCTCTTCTTGTTTATTTTTATTTTTTAAAATTTCTTCGTTATTTTTTTCGTTGCTTGAATTTGGTGAAATATTTTTAATTTTTACTTCTTGTTTTTTTAATTTATTTTCTTCAATGCTAGATTTTGTTAAAATATTTTTAATTTTTACTTCATCTTGTTTTTTTAAATTATTACTTTTATTTTTTGTAAGAATATTTTTATTTTTTATTTCTTCTTCTTCTTCTTCTTCCTCATCATCATCCTCTTCCTCTTCATCATCATCCTCATCACTTTCAAATTCAAGCTCATCGCTTTCATCAGAATCAAAAACAAGTTGATCTACCTCACCATCAGAATCCCCAGGCTCCGATTCTTCAACTTCTTCATCAGAACTATCAACCGTATCATTAAATTCAGCATTTAATAAATCTTCAGCTTCAGAATCCTAAAAAAAAATTAATTAACTAATTACACATTTGCAAACCACATGTTAATAAACAATGACATTAAAGTTAGCTGTTACTTAAGAATTTTTTAATATTTTATTTAACAAAATTTTTCTCTTTATTTTTAATAAATTTCATTTTTAAATTTCTACATGTCAATTTTTTTGCCATAATTTATTTGTTACAAAATTCTTAAAATTATTAAATGCATGCTGAATTAATTTTCATTAATAAACAATATAATTAAAAAACCAACCTCTTCAGATTCTTCACTCCGTACATCAACATTTTCCACAATAGGTTTTAATTTCCTCTTCACAGTTTTCTTTGCAGTAGGCGGCATTTTAAATTATAATTACAATTATAATTATTTTATTAAAACATTTAATACAAATAAAAATATAAATTAACAACCAACATCAACTGCACGTGTTTACTTGATTCTATATAGTTTTTATAATTTCCCACATGGACATCCCTTTGGGGTTAGGGAAATAATTCAGAATTTACCCGCTAGGGGGCCAGCGCGCCATTATTTAAATATTTATTTTTATTTCTTGTCAAATATATATTAATCCTTTTACATCAATACATAAATAATAATAATAATAATATACATTATTATTATTATTTTTATCAATTAACTAACGTATGAAAATGTAATAAATAATTATGATACTGATATTAGCAGTCATCTGATAATTCTTTAAATTTTTATAACACATCAATTATTATGAAAAAAAAAAAAAGAAATAAAAATTCGCACTTATAATTTTGTACAATTTTTCTACATGTGGAGTTTTTTTGGTTAATTTTTTTCATTATAATTTAATAGTTATAAAAATCTAAAAAATAATTAAGTGTCTGTTAATTTCAGTATCATTAAATAATTAGAGATTTATAAGTTACAAATTTTACAATTCAGAAACCATTTCTGGTAAACCTGGTGGCTTTGGAGGGGGGATTGTCGTCGTAACTTTCCATTTACGAAGAATTCCTAATACGTAATTCATCTTATCCATAACATCAACAAGTTCACGTGTTGTTTCATAAGATAATAAATGTCTGCAATAAAAAAAAAAAAAAATTAATTAATTAAATTCTGAATAATGTAAAAGACCCAATTATTGACACTGGCTTTGTTGTTTGACACTAATAATTTTATTCTAATTAAAAAAAATAAAATATTCTCAATAAACCAATTGTTTTAAAATTTATAATTCAAAAATTATATTTATTAATTTATTAAACTCGATTTTTTTTATTTGGTATTCGGAAAAAAAGACCTGGAAAAAATTTTAAAGTTATGAAAAATTCATTAAAATTATTATAAAATAAAAATAAAAATAATAATAATAATAATTGTATCACACCCACAATTTTCCTGAAAAACAAGCACCCCCAGAATGATCAATTCATTTTTTGTTACAAAAAAAAAAAAAAATGTCACTATTATTGTTATTATTATTATTTTTTTTTATTTCATAATAATTTTAATGAAACAATATGAATTTTTCATAACTTTAAAATTATTTCCAATCTATTTTTTCCGAGATTCGTTTTTTTAATTTAATTTAATTAAATTAAAATGATATTGCAAGTGTCAATAACTGGGTCTTTTACTGTATACAAATTTTATAAAATTATTTAAAGATAATTTAAAGAAAATATAAAATAAATTACTTGACAAGAGTAAATCCTGAATGACATTCAATCAACAGACTTGGTTTATCATTAGCGTCAATTTGCCTGAGAGTTTCAATCAACAGAGTTCTTGGTCTCGCGCACATTGACCTAGTGACATGATTTATTTTATCAGAAGCGCAACAATGCAGGTCGATAGTAACCACAGGCGGTTTGTCCTCCTGGTCCTCTGGATAATTCCAAAATAGTATATGGCTGCCTTGAATGACACACCATCTGCGGGTCCAGTAAGTCAAGCCATCATATTCATCCAAATAGTTAACAAAGCCCTTGTGGTCTAAAGAAAAATTAAGAATGCAATTGATATTGAGATCAATAGTCCCCAGTAAAATTGAATCCCTCGGAACTCCTGCAAGCGGCCAAGGTGTACTGATCGTCAAGTCTCTCAAAGTAAGCTCCACATTGCCACAAACTGCGAAAGAGGAGGTCAGAAACACCGGACGGCGTGTTTTAGGCGACAAAGGTCGCTCGACTCTCTTCAATAACTTCGTAGGCGACGGACAGGAAGTGTTTTTCTCATCATACTCAATGTGGTACTTCAACTCGTGCTGATAACTGACCCCAGTGGTCAATTTCAGGACATAGACTTCCAGTAAAATTTTCAAACTCGGCGACAGGTCGTTCATCACACAGCTGAACTCGGGAAAGCTTAACACAAAGCTCTCCACCGGACAACAAATAGCAGAACTCGCGTAGACGTTAGTTCCCTCGGTAATTACAATAACAAACCACTCTTGAATCTCTCCGGGTTCTGATTCACGGTAAAGACACTCACGAAGGGTCAATTTAATGTCTTTAATACTAACAGTCCCGCACCGGACTGACGAATCCTCTGTTTTGTTAAGCAGCTGCAAGTCCTCTGAAATTCCACTGAGACCCTTGAGCTCCTGGAGCAGCAACCTCTTGCGAATATCAGCCAGGAGCAACAAGCGCTGGGACTCTATTTCTTCCCGACTTGCATTAAACTCTTTCTTCAGCTGACACATTTCCAGCGCTTTGCTAGCTTGATTAAGAATCGTTGTTTGAATCCTCACTTCCTGCAAAAGTTTCTCAATTTTCTGGCTGTTAATACTGTCCCTCGGGAGCTGCAAATAATCCGGCAATAGCGCAACAGAGGTCTCCGGTTCTTCTTTCATTAAACTGCCTCTTAATTTCTTCTTAACCCTAGAAGACAAGGATCTGTACAGCTTAGCGCTCCTTCCAGGATTATGCAATGGTTTGAAGTCCTTTGGAGATATCATCGACTGAGTATTGCTCTTGGCAGTCGAGCGCTGCCGAGTGAAGAAGCTCTTTACTCTTCTGATGAAAGATTTTGAAGGAGTTTGGGACATCAAATCCGAGGCGTTGACGTTAGAATTGTCAACTCCTAAGCCGTAAGTTACTGAACTGTTATAAAGTTCGTCTCCCAGAGCGTTCTCTAGAAAATGTTCGACTTCTTCGGGAAGAATAGGGCTTCCTACTTCTATGTAAGCTTTGTTTTCTTCGACTTCATCTCTGGGAGGCGGACAGGACAATGGACTGTCTACTAGCTGGATTGTCGAAATTGTACACTCAGTGCCAACCGGTGAGTCGGTTTTGCTGGACGGACCTGACTTGGGAGACACTTTGCGAGTCGATTCTAAGTTAGGTTTACGCCTGGGAGGCTTTATTGGTGTCTTGAAATTATCCTCGACGATGTTAGCGTTGTTGTCGATGTTAATTGGTGATTTTTTGTCGGTGGAATTGGAATTTGAATGAGAACTGGGGCTGTGATATTTAATGTCGATCAGCGTGGGGTAAATTTTAGCGGAACGATCAGCCTGTATACTAATTGGCAAAGTTTCCTGAATTCCCAAATCTGCGATCTGAGCATCCAGGTCATTGATTTTAGCCGAGAGCGAAGTTATTGTCGAGTTGTTTCCTTCCGTTTGGGTCTTTATCCTGACATTGGATTCCAAATGTAGGGTAGTTGTAGCTGTCGATCCTCCTGTTTCCCACCCACGGGGTACTACACAACTCCCATTATTTTTCGCTCCTCGTTGGCCTGATTTGTCCTCAATTGGACAATAGGAGCTGTGTTTGCTCTTTATATACTCGTTTGTGTTATCGCTTATTGTTGTGTTGCGAGATTTTTGATTCTGAGCCCGGCGGATCATGCGCTGGAAAATAATTGATTAATTAAAATATAAAATTTTATGGTTAATAAATTTAATATGCTTTGTTTCATTTCACTACTGAGAGATGAATTTTAAAAATATTTTGCTTAATTAAATTGGATTGAAATGAATATAACTATTTTGATGGAATGTATACAATTTTTAATAAAGAATAATAAAACAATTTCTGTACATTTTTGTTTCTTCTGACAATGGATTTTATTTTACAATTTAAAACTACGTTTTAATTAAGAATCATTTCGTTTGATCAATTCCAATAAATTAATGAAAAATATTCCTGTGTTGAATTATTGTAAATTAGACTAATTAATTTTAATATAATTAAAATATATACATACATGTAAACGTTTGATCAAATTAATTATTCTTCTCTAGTAATATTATGTAATATTGAATTTATTCAGAATGTAATTTATTAGCTTTTAATTAGCGTAATTATTTCAATAAATATAATTTAATTAAATTTATTATACAAATACTATAAAATTACTTTTTTTGTTTGTATTAAATTATTATAAATTTGTAAGTGAATATCAAAATTTTTTTTTTTATAAAAGAAAAATCAAAAAATTTGTAGGGTTGAAATAATAAATCTGACATTTTTTTTGACAATTAAAATATAAAAAAAAAAAATAATAATAATCAAATATATGTTTTCTTAATGAAAATTAAGTGAGCCATCTGATAAGTTTTTATAATTTTTTTTTATTGGAAAAATTGTTACAAAAGAAAAAAAAAAATTTCATTTATAAAAACTTTGAAAAACTGTAAGTGCAATTTAAAAAAAATAGTTTTTTGTTCTAATTTAATTAATGAAAAAAAAGTAAAAACGTCGGCTAACTTTAGTATTATGTTTCTTAATTATTACAATGAAAAAAGCAGACATCATACAATTTTATAGATTTTTACAACAATAAAATTATTATAAAGAAATTCAACATGTAGAAATAAAAAAAAAAAAATATATAAATGCGAGTTTTAAAAAATATTTTTTTATCATATTTTATTTGTTATAAAAATTATCAGATGTTTTCTGATTTTTGTATCATAATATTATAATGTAACATTTTTTTGTATTACCTAATAATAAAAATAATAAATTAAAATTAAATTAGCCAACATCTGAAAATTTTTATAATTTTTTTTAATAAAAAAATTAATAATAATAAAATTAATAAAAAAAAATATTTTTAAAAATTGCACTTTCAGTTTTTCGAGTTTTTTGAGTTTTTTACAAATGAAATTTTTTTTTAATTATTTTGTAATAGTTTTTTTAATAAAAAAAAAATTCTAAAAATTTTTAGATGTCGGCTAACTTAATTTTTATAAAAAATTATAAAAAAATTAAAAGAAAAAATTTTACATGTAGAAGTTTTGAAAAATTATCTGTGGAATTTTTTTAAAAATATATTTTTACTTGTAATTTATTGAATAAAAAAAAAACAAAAATTTTTGAACGTCGGCTAATTTTAAATTCATAATAATAATCATAATCATAAAAACAAAAAAATACTCACAGCAGTAAAAGAATAATTATTATCATTGAGATCCATATTTTGATTGTTGTTATTTAAAAAAAAAATTAACCAAAAATCCACATGTTTGTGCTTACAAGTCAGAGCTCTGAAAAATGGAGACTGAGATGGCAGACAAGAAATACTATTTGAGCCCTATCTATGTGAGTAAGTGATAATTGCAGGTCATGGAGAGTTCGGTGATTTACTTCCTATATTAGCTATTCGATAAGTATTTACTATATTTATTTTACGCTTCCCGCTCCATAACATATTTCGTATATTTGATATTTCAGACAAGTGCTTGAACCCTCTTGTGAGTAACTGAAGAAGCTGAAGATAAATCAACACAAATATTTACCGCGCCAGACGCTGACAACATAACCTCCAGTTTATTTACCGTCTGTTTACACTTGAGCAACACAAAACCAATAACAATAACTTTGATTCAAAATTAATGTTCTATGAATGACAATTGATTATTAATCAGCTGTAAAAATGTTCGAAGCTCACAATTTGTACGCAGAGCACAAGGATTTAATTCATGATATCGCCTACGATTATTATGGACAGCGGATGGCAACGTGTTCTAGTGATCAATTCGTCAAGGTTAGTAATTATTGTAAATTTTAAAACAATTGTTCACTCTATTGTTGTTAATTTATTTTTTTTTAACAATTCAGGTCTGGGACGAGGATGATCAAGGTGGCTGGCACTTGAGCGCATCCTGGAAAGCTCACAGCGGTTCTGTTTGGAAAGTTACCTGGGCTCATCCGGAATTCGGACAAGTTTTAGCTACATGTTCTTTTGATCGTACTGCTTCTGTTTGGGAAGAAATTGGTATTTATTTATTTTTATATTTTAAATGAATTATATTTAAGTTAGCTGTCACTTGACCAATTTTTTTAAATTTTATTTAACAATTAAATGAACTCGAAAAAATGATTTTTAAAAAATTGCATTTTTAATTTTTTTTAATTTCTAAATGTCAATTTTTTTTGCCATAGTTTATTTGTTAACAAAAGTTCTAAAAATTATTAAACATCTGCTAAATTAATATTTATTTTAAATAAATAATAATAAAGTTAGCTGACATTTTTAATTTTTTTTTTATTTTGCTTAACAAATGAAGTTTGAAGTTTTTAACAAATGAGAAAATTTTTTTTAATAAAAAAATTATAAAAATTTTTAGATGTCGGCTAATAAGTAAATGAAAATTAATTTAGAGTATATTTAATATTTTTTTTAATTTTTTAACAAAAAAATTATGGAATAAAAAAAATTAACAGGTAGAAATTTTAAAAAATAAAAAATGCATTTTTTTTTGGAACAAATTTGTTTGTTAAATAAAATTAAAAAGTTGTTAAGTAACTGCTAACTTTAATTTTATTAACAGTCTTGATCATTTTTTTAATTTTATTTAACAAACAAAGTTGTTCCAAAAAATTGCATTTTTTATTTTTTTAAATTTCTGTCAATTTTTTTTTTGCTATAATTTATTTGTTACAAAAATTCTAAAAATTATTGAATTTATGCTAAATTAATTTTTATATTATTCAATCAATTCTAAGAATAATAAAATATAATATATAAAATATAAAATAAATATTTCTTCTACATAATTGAATTTCAACAAAGCTCATAGTTGTTGAATAAATATAATTTTCAATGTATTTATAACTTATCTTAAATTAAATAATTCAGTTATTCAATATTATTTATAAATAACTACTTTACTTTATAATTGCTTTATTACATTATTAGAACTATCAGAATATTTTAATTTCCTGATGGATGTCAAACGCTGATTATATATTTATAAAAGCGAGCAGCATCTGCGAATTTACATTAATATTTCAAGAAATTCATTAAACATTAATATAACATGACAAGATATCGGACGGGTAGCCATAAATAAATCGTGCTCTTTTAAAGTCAAGAGTTTTTTATTTATTTTTTTTTATTTACTTATCAATAGTTAAATCCTAATTGGCACAATTATTTAACAATTTAAATGTCACATTTAATTTATCTCCTAGCAAAAATTTATTGATCTGATTAAATATAAAAAAAAAAAAAAAAAAAAAAAAAAAAAAAAATCTAAATTTAATTTATTGATGACGAAAATTTTTGCCGCAATATCAAAAATTCTAATCATTCATTGTAAATTGTTGTATTGAATTTCCGGTAAAAAATCTTGGCGTTATTTATTAATAAATATTTGTTTAAAAATAGTTGGCAGAAGCTCTGGACCAAATGAACGCGGAATGCGTCACTGGATCCGCCGTACTAATCTAGTGGACTCTCGAACTTCAGTAACAGACGTTAAATTCGGTCCTAAAACCCTGGGATTAATATTAGCAACATGCAGCGCAGACGGTGTGATCAGGATTTATGAAGCGCCGGATGTGATGAACCTCAGCCAGTGGACTCTGCAGCACGACATAAATTGCAAGCTCGCTTGCAGCTGTATCTCATGGAACCCATCAATGTCCAGGTATTTTCACACCCGATAAATATTAAATGATAATTGAAAGATAGCCAATAATCTGTGTCTTGGAATATTAACGAGCATTAAACTATTTCAGACTCCATCCGCCAATGATCGCTGTCGGTAGCGATGACACCAATGCAGCTGCCGGTGGCAAAGTATTTATTTACGAGTACTCTGACAATAGCCGACGATGGACGAGAACAGAGACTATTTCAAATGTTGTAGAGCCAGTCCACGACATTGCATTTTCTTCAAATCTCGGCAGGAGTTATCATACTCTGGCTATCGCTACCAAAGACGTCCGGATCGTGACATTAAAACCTATGCAGTAAGTTAATATTTTATTTAAGTTTCAAATGTAGAAAATTTAAAAAACTATACGTGCAATTTTTCAAACAAATTTTTTTAGTTCCAATTTAATTAATAAAAAAAATAAAAAATTTTTTAACGTCGGCTAATTTTAGTATCATGAAATTGGTAAACGCTTGACAATTTTTTGATGTTTCTTAAATAATAATCGAGATTTAAAAAATGGTTTATAAAAAATTGCACTTGTAATTTTTTATACTTTCCAAAAATGGAATTTTTTAAATAATTTTTGTTTGCTATAATTTGCTATAGTTTGTTTTCTTTAATTTTTTGTATTAATTTTTCAATTAAAAAAATTCTAAAAATATTTAGATGTCGGCTATCTTAATTTTCATTTCTAAATGTTGAATAATATGACATTGAAATTGGAAGACACTTGACAATTTTTTAATTTTTCTAGAATAATAATCAAGGTTTAAAAAATTGTTTATAAAAAATTGCACTTGTAATTTTTTATATCTTCCAAAAATGGAATTTTTTTAAATACATTTTTCTTGCTATAGTTTATCAGTTAAAAAATTTCTAAAAATCATCAGATGTTTCTCAATTTCAGTGTAATTAAGGAGGGAAAAACGTGTAGAAAGACTTTTTCATGCTGATTTTTTATTAATTTTTTTAAGGTATGAAAATTAATGTTATTTATTGAAACTATCAGGTTATTTTATACATATATACAATTACGCTGAATATGAACCTCCATCATAAGCGATATTTTTATTTAAACAGTTTTTTTTTTTAATAAACAATGTATGAAAAAATGGTAAAAAATCACGACTTAATTTCACAGCCCTCTAAAAAATACAAATTTTTACTTTTTTTTTTTGAATTGATGTTCATATAGAAGATACACATAAAAAGTAATTTTTCTGTGCCGAGTGATTTCAGATAAAAATTGTGGCTCCGTTATTTGTTAAGTTATATTGTTGCTTAATACGAAAAAATACTCATGAATATATTTATAAAATATCCTGATAGTTTCAATAAATATTAATTTTTTATACCTTAAAAAATTAATTAAAATCAGAATTTCTCTCCTTAATTATATAATTATAAAAATTTTTATTTAAAAGGCTTTTATATCAAAAAAAGTCCTAAAAATTTTAAAAATAATAAATTATTTAAAAAAATAAATTGATGCATTAGTCTGAATTTTTAACAAGACACTTAAAAGCTAAAAGTAGGCGAGTGTTGACTAATAAATGTACAATAATATTGATCGCTGACTAGTAATAATTAATTACCAGCGTTAAATAATAAATCTTATTTTGATTGATAGCGACAGCGCTCAAAATGGTCTATCACGGTTCGAAATAACGACAGCCGCACAATTTGACGATCATTACTGCACTGTTTGGCGTGTGTGCTGGAACACAATGGGAACTATTCTGGCAAGCTCTGGGGATGACGGATGCGTTCGTCTGTGGAAAGATAATTATATTAATAACTGGAAATGTGTTGCTGTATTAAAAGGCGACGGTACTTCCTCGCTAGGTAACGAGCTAGCCCAAAGTGCAACACCGCCTGGACAATCAAATAATACACAGTTACCGCTATCAACAAGGTACTATAAATTGGGATCTATAAGCCATCCAAATCAGGTTCCATGGCACTGATTTTTCGTAGCAGTTTATTATTATTTTTTATATAATTTTTACTTTGGTTTCTGGAATTCATTCCCTGGAATTAGAATTCAAGGCTTATTAAATCAATACTGATGTTTTACTGGAACTTTTTACTGTGTACACTTTACTGTGTTGAAACTGTAAATTAATCATAATGATATTTAAAATAAGGGTGTAATAACAATAAATACTTTTTTTTTGTTGTTTAATCTTAAGTTTTTTTTTTTATTTTTTTTTCCACTTCCATTGACCTATTACTCGTCAACTATTGTTACTGGTGTGTTTTGTTGCATTGTATTAGTTTATAGTGTGGTTTTTCAGTAGTACATCCTCTATGTTTGTTTCAGTTACAGAACAATAGCGATTGCTGAAGCGAGCGGTGAAAAATCAATGATTAATGTCCCCTCGGCAAATAAATGGCAGACACCTGTGATTAAAGGACGATTTAGTAAGACTGTTTGGTTGGGTAATCCGAGTGAAACTTCATTACCGCCTCCACCGTCGGTCCTCGAGTATTCGAGAGGAAAAAAGTAAATATTTAATATGTTCATACTCTATTGAGTGTAACGTGACAACTTTTCAATATTTAATATTTAACTAGCAACCTTGCAGTCACTATGTGACTGCCCTGACTTTTCAACTATAAATAAATGAAATTTTGCTTTATTAAATAATGAATTTGGTTAAATTGCACTTTACTCTCTTAAATATTGACGTTTTTAAAGATATAAACTCATCCTGATGTAACGCTCTTCGAGAGCTTTCATTTGAGTACCCACATGCATATTTATACATATATATACATATATATATATATATATATATATATATATATATATATATATA